GCATTGTGCGTCGGTGGCACAGTGGTTAGGACTCTCGCCGACCATGCACATGGTTCGGGGTGCGAGCCCACGCCGACGCACACCTGATATCTATGGTCGGCCTGCAAAATTTGAGCTACCGATATCCACGCTGAAAATTCCATACTTGTACCAAAAATACAGTGTGGAATCAAGCTGTAATCAAAAAAAAATTTTTTCTTGATCTTCTGAATTCTGCTCACTCATTGTATTACATAATCAACTTCTCATCTGACCACATGTGCACTGAAATTTTGGTCATCTCTTATCGAATTACAACCACTTTCCTTACCGTATCCATCGTCATAAGAATGCATAAACAGGACTATATCACCGCCCTCCCACTAAACCTGTAAAAATTATAATTGTCCAAATTATTTATTTATTCATTTTTTATTTATGTTGACCACTTCATCTTTAATTTACGTGTTATCCTTGTAAAAATTAATTTATTCTAATCATTTCTACCTTTTAATTGTCTGTATTGATTTTCTTCGTTAATTACCTACCACCCATCGCATTGACATGTTGGCACTGACTGACTAATTATTGTTAACAAACACATCAGTGTGCCACACGATTAGTAAACTGTTGTGTATTGTAATAAAAATGCTATACAGAATATATTGGAGTAGATCTAGAGTGGGTTGAGGATCTAATTGAAAAGTAAATATTTCTTCGTTCAATCTTTCTGTTATCTAATTACGTAAATATTATTATTTTCTTTTGTTACCATCCCGATAACACAATTGTTAATTAATTTTTTCTCAAGAAACTTCTCTCCAACAAGATATATATACAGGACTTTCATCATGAGCTGACATTAGTTAGAGAACCATTGGAAAACCAACTGGGTGTACTACCAGACAGCTGTTTCGTCAGCCTAGTTTGGGACTCTTCAGCAGCACGCACCCACCAGGATTCGAACCTAGGACCTTCTAGTTACAAGGCTAGCGAGCTCGTATACCATTAACCCACTGGGACCCGATCCATTGGCCAGCCCACGAACTCTAACTTCTGCCAATTTTACGACATAGCGCGACTCCAGCTGATGTCTTCGGCGAGTGAAGATTCGTGACCAGTAGGATGCAGCAGGTCGGGTGTAAGGACAAATACTCGCCGAAGACACCGGCTGGGGTCGCGCTATGTCGTGAATTGGCAGAAGCTAGAGTTCGTGGGCTGGCAAATGGATCGGGTCCCAGTGGGTTAATGGTATACGAGCTCGCTAGCCTTGTAACCAGAAGATCCTGGGTTCGAATCCTGGTGGGTGCGTACTGCTGAAGAGTCCCAAACTAGGCTGACGAAACAGCTGTCTGGCAGTACTCCCAGTTGGTTTTCCAATGGTTCTCTAACTAATGTCAGCTCACGATGAAGATCCTGTAATCAGTCAAATCCCTACAAACCAACACTTGAATATATATATATATATATATATATATCGTAACACTTTAGTCACGTTGTAAATCGCGACGCCTTATTTCACTATGACATTCTGACAATATGCTTGCTAATGGATTAAAGTTTTTTAAAATGGTACACATTTTATCTTCTTAAAGAATTCAGGTTGTACGCAGCTGCTGATGAGAACCGACAAAATAAAATGGATCCAGATTATTCTGCGAGCCAATGTTTCTTCTTTCTTTGTTCAAATTTTTATAAAAGGGAATCATTGTATGAAATTGGAAAGTCTTTGAACTAACTTTCAGGCTTACAAGACTGGATCAGGGAATTCCTCATAAGTAGGAGAGAGAGAGAGAGTTAGTATCAATTCAAAACTCTCCTCTTGACTAGCGATACATAGGGGAGTGCCACAGGAAACCGTTACTCCATTCCGCCTTATTTATCTGGTATATCAATGAATTATCTGAGGTAAATGAATATTCTATGGTTCTCTATGCACACGACCTAACAATTCAGACAAATTTGAATGGTGTTGATGATATGCTAACAATTACAAGGATATCTCAAAAGCTGGTTGAATTGATCCAAAGAATGGGTGCTCCCAATCAACGTAGCGAACTATATAACCATGCTTATTGGTCATGTAAGCATCAGCTTATACGAATTAGAGCGAACAACACTCCTATCAGTTGAGACTCATATGGGTCATGGTGTTATGATAAGTCACGAACTATAACTAGCTTAATCAGTAATATGTTCACTGGTATGTGGACATTTCTACTGAGGTCAAAACTGGAAAACTGCATCCAGTCATCCTGCCTTTGACCTAAGAGGAATCATACATTCTACAAAAGGTCCAAAGGAGGGCAACAGATACGATTCATGGTATGACAAAATACTCATACAAGGAAAGACTTAGCAGTTTGAATTTCTTCTTCCTGTCATACTGTAGGCAAATAGAAAGATCTCATTACAATATGTAAAATTCTAATAAATGACTATAGACCTAATATATCTTCGTTTTCCTCTCGGACCAGATCAGACCACCTCAGAAGAAATAGCAGAAGACTTTTAAAGCCAATGGGGGGAACTATACCACTGGGGAGTACTGTTGTCGCGCCACCGAGTTATAAGCACTTGGAACCCACTCTCAGAAGAAGTGGTGTTAGTGTGCCTAAAATGACTTGTTCAAGGAGAGTATCAAACAGGAATGCAAATTCATTGGAAAGGCGTTAAAGTCGGCTTCAAGCCTTCTATCCCAAGGCAGTGAATCTTAAAATCCGAAACCAACCTAGACAAGAACCAATGCACCCACTAGTCATATATGTACAAAAACGATTGGCTTTTAATGGAGCTTTTGATTAATTTTATTGTAAATTGCGTCACAAACTGATATCTATTATAATGAATCATTGGAAACTGTGGATTGGTGTATAGTTGTTCTACTAAAGTGTATGGCAATTCACTCCAACGTACACCAACGATGCCATAGGGAATCCCATGTGCTGAAGGTTTGGAATTCGATGAATCGGATAGTGATATCAGTTTGATATCAACTCTACCTTTTAGAAGTGATCGAATTTGTCGAAGAAGTAGTGGGAGAATGTGAACGGAATGCTCTTCAACAGCATTAACTGCATTGGTGCAGTATCACTGGGTTTCAGTCAGGTGAATAAATGGACAACGGTCTTATCAGTAGGTCTTCAGTTCAACCCTTGATTGAGACAGTTGGTACACACTATTTAAAGTCCCATTCCAGGATTCGATAGCTTTCTGTGACTGCCTAACTGATGTCCCCCATTGACGAAGTTGACAGTGACATGTATTGAAAGCATTCTTTTAGAAAAGTGGATTGGTTGTTTAGTGATAGAATAAATAGTCAACCACACTGCACGTGACCTCGATTCGACTCCCAGCCGGTTGACTCACTCCCAAATGTCGCGTAAAACCAATAGTAAGCTAGATAAAGAAGGACTGTTGTAGTGAGTGAGGCTAGCAACCTCACCTCGTGAAAAAGGAACTCTAACGCTGGTGAAACTTCAAGATTCGGGCCTCAGTACAAAATGGAATGGGAAAAAATATTTGAGAAAACAAACTTTAATGTCTCAGACAAAGTCTTGTTCCATATTAGTTTGTTTATTAGATATATCACACAGTGAAACAGTATTATTTACGGGATGACGTTTCGAACAAAACTTATTGTTCATTGTCTTGTTCTCATTAGATGTGACGTCGTTATTTACCAATGTTCCTCTCATGGAAACTGTTTGCTCTTTATGTGATTACATTGATACACATAGTTTAGAAATAGGTCTGCCGACAATCTACCTCAACGAGTTTTTATTGTGATTCACGTTCAGTTCACCTTCAATTATGAGATCTTTAGACAGAGAGATGGCATTGCCATGGGATCACCACTGGATCCCTTGTTGGCTGATTGTTTTATGGCAAAGGATGAAAATTCTCAACTTAGTCAAACCATCGGTCATTTTGACATTTATAAAAGATACATAGACGACACTTTCGTCATCTGCGATAATAACGTAATTCTTGATGATGTCTTGTTCGCTTTCAACAACTGCCATCCTTCTTTACAATTCACCATAGAAAAGCAATCTGAACTAAGTATTCCGTTTCTTGATGTGTGCCTTAGCAGACGTAGTGACGGATCTCTCAGAAGATCTATCCACTGGAAACGTACATGGAACGGACAACTAACTAATTTTTACAGTTGGGTGCCTATTTCCAGGAAAAGGAACCTAATTCATTCACTCTGCTGGATTCATTCCAGCTGCATGGTTTTACAAGGAAGAAAGGAAGTGTGTGCGAAGCTGTGTTCTGGAACACCTGATCGACTTCTGTCACTCGGTCAACCGTCATCATGATTTCAAGATCATATGTAGAATCCATGCTAACTTGCTGGCCGCGTTTTCTTCGTTATAGGCTTCTAAAGACAGCTGAGGCCTTGACGATTCATGACTTTAAGCCAGCCAGACCTTTGTGTGCAATAGAAGTATGTACAATCCCTACTTTTGACTTGGCCGTAGAGGGATAGATATTTATTTATTTAGTTTATTTAGTTATTCTATGCACATTTCCCTTATTACTACGATTATTATTATCACTATTCTCACTCTGAATCTTTTCCACTTGACCCACTTGACATTCTGAACCCAAAATTATTAATTTTTATTTTTACAATATTGAATTCTATCTTATCAAATTTCACTCCATGTTATGTAACATTTTATATTCGTCTACTAATCCTATAATTATGTATCCCTTTCTAAATCTATACACCTTATGTATTATTCTATATATGACATTTATTGTTTTGCTACTTGATATTAAACTATGATTATAATCACAAATATTTTATTTGCATTTCATACTACTACTACTACTTCTATTATTTCACGTATTAACACCTTTGACCTAATTCCCTCACCGGTTATAATTTCTTAAAAACCATATCCATATTTACTATTGTACAGCCTGATAATAAATTCGTTGTTGAAAAGAGTTTCTTCGCTAAATATTGTGCTCTTAAAACAAATTTAATTGAATTAAATATTACTTACTGTAATTTGTAGATGGAGCTGTTGAGGATGTTGATGCAGGGGCAGGTGGTGGTGGTGGTGGCGGCGGAGGCGGTTGGTGACGAACTCGTCGAGTTTCATGGCTATTCACTTTTGACATTTTATCATAATTATAATTATCATCTGTAATTGGTTGGGATTCATTTAAACTACACACAGTCTGTTGACCACTGCTAACAGACTCTAAACTTGTAAAATCATTTGATATTGATTCTGCTACAAGAATAGGTTGTAGAGATTTGCCTTCATGATATTGTGGATAGGCGCCATCACTGTTCACCAGGGAATTTTTATCATAATTCTCAAAATTATCCATGTTATCCAGATAGGCTTTCTTTAAAATATTTGGTTGTGAATGAAAATTCTCTTGTGGAAGGTGAGAGGAGATTGACGGTAAGGCAGTTGATCGCTTACTGTTTTTATGATGTCTTAAGGATTCAGTTGGAGTCTGTGTTCTTCGATATCCACCGTTGTATTCATGTTCACGTTGTTGCTGTTCTTCTTCTTCTTGATGTTGTATAGATTGAAGGTTATGCTGACGTCTTTGATGTTCATTCTCTTCGTCTCTTTCCTCTTCGGGATTGTTTATAATGATATCAGATTCAGAGGATGTTGTTTCACTCATCGATGATGGGGAAGATGGTGTCGAACGTGACTGGGAACGATGTCGACTAGCTTCATAGTTAGATCGAGCATCAACACTTTGAGGCTAAATATGCAGTATTTTGAGAGAGAGGAAAAAGGAGTATTTATGAGTACAGCATTTACAGTAGAGTACAAAATATTAACTTTTATATAAATTTTATAGAGAATAACGACAACTGGATTGGATTGCTAGATTTTAGAGAAGGACATTATGTATAACGTATAAGTACTTGTGACAAATGGTGGAATTTTTCACCATTCGGTACAATATTCCATCTCGATACGAGAGAGAAGATTTGTAGCTCAGGTGGAATATTTTTGAGGTGGTAGTGTTCTCTGAGCTGACTGGATAGTTAATTTACGCAGCTTTCATCACCCCATCACTAGGCGACATCTTCACCTCAGAGCATACTTCAATTTGAATTGAAGTAAGCTTTTAGATTTCTCCACGAGTTTATTAATCATCTCTTCTGGTCAGTGACCACCTTGAACGTGATTGGTTGTTTTTGTGTGTTTTCACACCTTCTAGCTGGTGGCTACTTGTATTGGAACTGATTGTTTCTTTGACTTGAAATTTGACCCTTCGTATATGTGTGTGAAGTTTCTTTCTTATCGGTTGATAAATTTTGTCTAACTCGATGAGTTTATTGATTGATGATTCACTGGAATGCCAAGCTTCTAAAAATTCCCTAGCATTCTTGTTGTTTTCTCTGTCTAATATTTAAACGCTGGTTGTCCCAGTCGAATTGATATCCGTGGTTGTCTATATGTAGTGATATCCACTCCCTCATATCACTACACTGTGAGAATTTATCAAAATAAATTTGATCCATAATGGAATTATACTCTATCGCCACAGTGCACAAGTTCTATTATTATATATTGAGGAATTTGACTTCCTTCGCCGACCATGGGACATCAGAGGATAGAACTCTTCCAAGATGTTTCATGTTTGACTTATTTTTTATTTCAGTGCTCTCTGTGCTACAGACATCTCGTGAACGAATCAATTCTTATAGATCACATTCATGCCCTAATGTGAAGTTAACTGTCTGACATTTAGAGGGATTTTAGCTAAGACTAATTAGCTTCGATAACCAGCTGATTTCAGAACAAATGAGAGTGCAGGGACACCAACAGTCTACTTCCTTCATGATCTTTTACATACAGTGTATCCTTGACACAAAGTAGGATGAATCCATATCGTGAGGGAAACGTGTTATCCTGCATTTGTGGGTTCAAACTCCAAGGGTGTATATCGAATAGCGTTGTAAACTAGCTATACACCACGAAATTTCACGGAGTATCATCAATGAGTAACCTTTTACTGATCACGATTCTCTATTGGGATTTTGAAAATTTCACCTCTAACCTCGTCGTCTGATAAACATTGGATGATTATTCATGTTTTCTCAACAGATAATCTCTTGCTTGGCCCTTGTCTTCTGTCGGTTAAGAGTGGCGTTCCTCAGGGTACAATTCTAGGCCCACTTCTTTTCCTGATTTATGTTAATAAGATTCCATCGGTAGTTAAGTCATCCTGCTTACTGTTTGCTGATGACATCAAGATATGGAGGGCTTTGCACGATGACAGTGATCAACTTGCTTTGCAGGAAGATTTAAACTTGTTAAGTGATTGGTGTAAGCACTGGGCCTTGGAGATTAACTTAGGCAAGAGTGTAGTTATGCATGTATCTCATAGTCACGTGCACAATTACTCAATGAATGGCATTACTCTCCCAGTGGTCACTGAGTACAAGGACTTGGGAGTGGTTGTGCAGCATGACTTGAAAACAGCAACAAACTGTAGAACTGCAGCCACTAAGGGTTTTCGAATGTTATGGGCCATACGCAAGGCTTTTGCGAACTTTGACGCTGATATATTTCGTATATTATATCCGACTTATGTCAGACCTCATTTGGAATATAGGATCCAGGCAGCGAGCCCGTGTTTCAAATACGAAATAGACTTATTAGAAAGGGTGCAAAGAGTAGGAACTAAGCTAATAAAGGGTTTCTCAACCCTGTCATATGAGGAGAGGTTAAGTCGACTGGGTTTATTTCCACTGTCATACAGACGACTTAGGGGTGACCTAATACTAGCATACCATATCCTAAGAAATGATTTTGGAGCTAATTTATCTAAATTATTTCTTCCTTCTAGCACCAACCAATTACGAGGACATCACCTCAAGGTTCAAAAACCACGGTCGAATCGTCTGCGTCTGGAAATCCGTTTTTCGCATCGAATTGTGAAACACTGGAACTCCCTACCGGAACACGTCGTATCAGCGCCATCCGTTGATTCATTCAAGGCGAGATTGGACCTCCTGTATGCAATAAATCGAAAGGATTAACACAGGCATATAGCCTGCCATCCTAAATAAATTGTAAACTGTAAACTACTGGTATTATTTGATACTTTGCAAGTTTAATCAATAGTCTTTGGCAAGTAATTAAAACTTGACAATTTGTCGGTTAACCAACTGCATACAACTTCTGTTCAGGAGTGATTCTTTCCCTAAATACTGTAATTCTAGAACCCTTTAAAACTATACAGAGAAGGTGGCGAAAATAGCAAAAAAAAAACAATACAACTCCAAATCATACCCTATTGATTTTCTCCGGGAAATATGTACGATTTCTTGATGAATGCTTGACTGAAGAAGGATGTTGTTTACTTAATTTCTGATGATCATCTTTGTAACCTGAATGATCTTCTAATTCATCCGCCTCATCATTCATTCCAATTTCAGCTAAATTTAACGATGGTGTAGAACGACTTAAAGAACCAATTTTTTGTCTTGACTGATCTAATCTCTTGGCTTTATTTACAGAAGGATGATTTAGACGCGTATTAGTGTTGTTCTTCGGCTGTTGTTGTTGTTGTTGCTGCTGCTGCTGTTGCTGTGGATGTGGGTTCTGAGGATGCTGTTGGTTACGAGGACGTTGAGAAACAGGTCGATGATCAGTATTGTTTAACCTTTTATGATCTATTGTACCTCTCAAGTGATTGTCTGTAGAAGGCTGACTTTGTTGATTTTCGATACGAAGCTAAGAAACGAAAAAGTACACGAGATAATTAATATTAATGAATAAGTGGTATGAAGTAATATCCGTTTGTGATGAAGTCCCGATTGACAGTTTAGTGTGTTCAACATAAGGCGTGGGGAACAAACACTACGGAAGTAACACAACAAAAGGGAGGAATCTTCTGTAGTTTACACATGATTTGTGTACGTTTATATGGGCGGATAGATAATAAGAATAATAATAATAGCAATAATAACAACAACTACCACTAGATATGATAAATCTGATTGTTAAATGGCTATAAATCGTAGCAAACCTAAGCTGCGTCGGTGGCACAGTGGTTAGGACTCTCGCGACCATGCACATGGTCCGGGTTCGAGCCCTCGCCGACGTACACCTGATATCTATGGTCGGCCTGCAAAATTTGAGCTACCGATATCCACGCTGAAAATTCCATACTTGTACCAAAAATACAGTGTGGAATCAAGCTGTAATCAAAATAAATAAAAAAAATAAATAAATAAAAATAAATACTGTATCAGACAACATTCCATTACAAAAACTGGTTGATTCCTGAGAAAGTAGTCAACGCAGTCATAATGGACTAGTTATTATTATTTTTATTACTATATCCTTTAATTCCTAGAGGAACATAGGGCTTCAGCCACGCGTCTCCATTGCCTTCGGTTTTCTGCCAACTTTTTCATCCCGCTGTAAGTCTGCCCACATACTTTCATCTCCTTTTCGCTGTATGACCTCCTCCAAGTCATCCCATCCATTCTGTTGGGTTACACTCGAGCAATGGCTTGTCTAGTGATCTCACTCACTTGATGGTTTCCTCAGCGTACGGCCAATCCATCTCCATTTCTTCCTGCCTATTTGTTTCACAGTCGGTTCCTGCTGGGTTGGTTCGCTTATTGCCAGTGATCCCTGTTGCTGATCTTTTCTGGCCGGTCATCTGATCTTGAGTAGTATTGAGTGAAGACAGCTGTTAATGAAGGTCTGAAGTTTGTTTGAGATGCTCTTTATGACTCGCCAAGTCTCTGATCTGTATGGTGAGTAGCACTGACTTCACATTGGAGTTGAAAATCCGGATCTTATTTTTGATGCTTAGTAGGGCTGTTGATCTCCACACAGACTTGAGAATAATGAAAGCTTGTCTTGCTTTCCCGATCCTCGTTGCTTTGACATCCTCGTCAGTTCCGTTGGCCTATAGTTGAAACGGTGCTTCCCAGGTAGGTGGGTAGGTAAAGGAGGTTTTTTTTTCAGGTTCCTCCCATTGATGCTGGCTGATTGTTGTCTGTTGTTGTTGCTGTTGGTGTTGGCCAGGAATCTTCATCACCTCTGTTTTATCTATGTTCACTTGAAGTCCTATCTTCTCTGGATGCTTCTTCTGCCAACTTGTTGCTTTTCACTTGCATATCTTCTAGTTTGTGGGAAATCAGACATATATGTGCAAAGTTCTATGCTGAAAACACGCAGACAGACAGACCATAGTCTGTTCCTAACATCATCCCGCCAACACTTACAATTAAATAACGAACAATATGTTAAGGTTGACCACCGATTGATGCAATTTGAAGACCAGAGAGTACTGAACAGATGTTTCGCCCTAATTTGAAACTCTTCATCGGTACACATCGACGTGCACAACACCTTCAGGTTATAAAATACAAGCTCGTTGACAATTCAGCTACTGGGGCTTAAATCCCCTAGTCCGTTAAAAATTCTAACTTCCATCCATTGGCGAATTTAAGGCAACTATCAAACTTGAAACAAGTAAAATCCCTAGAAATGCAACCACTGAAAGTTAATTTGATGTCTACTGGTAACCGACTACAGTATGAGGTTTCCAGGAATTCCAGTGAAAAGTTGTAACCAGTGGAATCCGAAGTTCAAGTATTAGTTTGTAGAGATTTGACTGATTGGTTACAGGCTATTTGAATACCAATACTTCAATATATCTATGAGATGCTCACTAGCGATTTGCCCTATTCAGGTAGGTAGTTACCCGGGTTTCTAGTGGGAAATCGTGACCGTTAGGGTGCAGCAGGTCGGGTATCAAGACAAATACTCGCAGAAGACATTGACTAGCGGTCGCGCTATGTCGTGAATTGGCAGAAGTTGGAATTCGCGGGCTGGCCGTTGGATCAATTGGATCCAGTGGCTTAATGGTCTACAAGCTCGCTAGCCTTGTAACCGGAAGGTCCTGGGTCCTAAAACCAGTGGGGTGGGTGCGTACTGATGAGGAGTCCCAAACTAGGCTGATGAAACAGCTGTCCAGTACTCCTAGGATCTCCAATGGTTCTCTAACCAATGTCAGCTTATGATGAAATCCTGTAAGGAATCCGCAGTGTTAGTTGTGCAATTCACTTTCGAGACATACTATCGACTACCAATATATGTAATCAGATTAGCATCAGTTGTTGAAGAGAATCACATTTACCAAAAAATCTCATTTTTGAAACTTTGAATCTAACGAAGCTTTTACAAATTATGGTATTATTTAACTGGTGAAAACATCCTTTTTTCAAATATTAAAATTTACTACTTTTATACATATTAAGTAGTTTGGCGGTATTAAGTATATTTTCATGGGCATCAAAATACTCAGCTCCATTTGAGAAATCCTCTGAAGTCTTACAAAAAAGACCCAATCAAACCTTTAGAAGTGAGTGGGATAAATACACCTGGGTATAGAGCTGAAGCATTTTTCATCTGATAATTCTAGCCAACACTATGTATCTAAAAGCAGCACATCTAGTGGTCTTCTTTGTTACAGACATCAGAATTAGTTAGTTTTCTCAAGAAAATCATTATATTTTTGACTTCTGGCTCATGCTGAAACTTTCTCACTCCTTTCGTTGTAAATTGACAAGTTTGAGACGCAGTTTTTACTTTTTTCAATAAAGAAATTTGTTCTTCACAGTGACGAACTTTGTGCTTTCCTGTGGTTCAATGTTCCACAAAATTTGATAAAACCCTAAAGTTTCTTAGGATTTTGACAATTATATAGTTCAAAAACTTGGCGCGTCACTGAAAGCATTTCGTATAGACCGCAAAATTTCATCGACAACTGCTCCCTTTGCTCCATATTTAGGATCAGATGGCAGGAGGGTGAGGATTAACAATAAAGGACTCTGGCAACCAGTCAACCACCCGAGAACCTGCTGCCTAACAAATAAGGCAGAGAAAATGGATATGGACCAGCTACGCATTGAGAAATATCACACGCCAGAAAAACGTCAATTGGAACTTGAATGGGAAGCAACGATTTTGGCGTATTTCCGAGAGTGACATGAAGTAGATCATATGAGGTAGAAATGACAGCTTATGGGTAGTCGTGAAACTAGATGGCAAAAAGGACAGCAGGGAACAGGATCAGATGAATATGTGCCACTGAAGACCAAGGGAATAATAATAACAGTTATGAGATTTCATCATGAGCTGACATCGGTTACAGAACCATTAGAAAACCAGCTGGGAATACTGCCAGACAGCTGTTTCGTCCTAGTTCTTAGGACTCTTCGTCATTACGCATCCATCGCCAGGGTTCGAACCCAGGACCTTCTGATTACAAGCCTAGGGAGCTCGTAGACCATTACGTCTTGACCAGTAGGATACAGCAGGTCGGGCATGAGTACTGTCTGGCAGTACTCCCTGTGGTTGGTTTTCCGATGGTTCTCTAACTGATGTCAGCTCATGATGAAACCCTACAACCAATCGAAGAAAATCCCTACAAAAACCAATACTTAATTATTAACAATATTCATTAAAACTTACATCTGGTTGACTTTGATTAAAATAGGGCATATCACGTAGGTCGTGTTTCTTGTTTTCAACCTGTGTACTCCTTTTATCATGATTATTCCCACTATTGTTATTATTAATACTATTACTACTGATATGGTTATTAGTAGGTCGAATTAATTCAATAATTTTATGATATTGAGCTGCTTTTTTAGCAATAATCAGCTGGACACCATCGTCTGGTTTACTTTGTTTCGAAATCTTCGCTACAGCATCTGATTGAGCACAACCAATTAAACTTGTATTACCGATAGCTAGAATTTGATCACCAGTTTTCAGACGACCATCACGATCAGCTGCACCATTCGGTACAATTTCTTTAACATAAATTCCATAAAGACGTTGTCCTTCGGCCTGTTAGGATGATAATAAGATATTAATAGTAATAGTAATAATAATAATAATAATACCACAAAAGGATCTGAAGATATAATTTTAGGCATAGGAAACAAGGGGGTGTTCACAAAAGGCAAACAGATATGATTAAATTAAAACAATTAGTCCCTTTTACCAGTTTTATTCCTATCCAGTATAAACGTTCCCTAGTGAAATGTTTGTTCTCAAGGGCCCGAAAAATATGCACGAGTGACACACTGATGGATGAGCTTCGACATGTACATTCAGTTTTATTAGCTAATGGTTATCCGGAGAGCTTTATCACTTGTCACAGCAAAGAAAAACCACATCTCGAAAAGACAGCTTCTGTACCAAAGAAAGCCATCTTTATTAATCTACCATTCAAAGGCGACCAGATTATGCAGTTGACAACTCAAAGACTTCGATCAGCCATCAAACACACATTCTACGCCGCATCTCTTTTTCTCACTTGCCGAACATTTTCGATCCCTGTTCCTACGATTAAAGGACGAAATTCTGTGAACTCTACTTCAAACTGTATCTACAAGTTCACCTGCAGCTGCGGTGACACCTATATAGGTAGAACTAACAGAATGTTCCAATGTCGTGGTCGAAAAGAACATGTTCCAAAATGGCTAGTAAATCATATCGAAAATCCCAACGCGATTAATCTCAGTAGAAATCCAGCATCATCATCCATTGCAAAACACTTATTAATGTCTGGTCACAAAATCAATAATAATGACTGTTTCACAATTATTTCACACAACTCTAATTCAAGGTTATTGAAGATGATGGAAGCAATTTGGATTAATCACATACAGCCTAAACTGTGTGTACAAAAATCAATAGACTTCAACCTTCGCCTAACCTGGACTGCATGACCTATCTTAATATGATTGGTCATTAGTATGTACTTTTGTTTTTATTTAATTGAGTAATTTTCATGAACTTCATTTTATCATTGTTAACCATGTTAGTTGTAAAGCGGTTGTAAAGAAACTACGAAATGACGATATCATCTCGCGAAATTTGTCTTCTTAATGCCTTGTTCAAATATATGATTAACGTTCAACTTGAGATCACTGGAGGTATACTATACATCAAACTAGAAGTAATAGTGGATGGGTCATGTAGAGAGCACAGCTAGCCATTCCAAAGCTAGTAGGGGAAAAGATGCCCAATAATTCTCCTTCGACAGATTCTGGAATGTAGGGTTACTTATCGGTATCAAACTCCTGACATATTTCCTTTTTTGACCTGAAGCCTGAATTCGGATTGGTTGACTGAGAGATACTATGGTAAACTTTCAACTGCAAAAGGAGTACCAGAGAAAGTATATCGTACTAGTCTGAACACTCTATTTAGACTCAAGCAGTCATAGATGGGCTTAGAGTGAATTGTCCTATGAATAAATAGCTCTAACTGCCTAGAAGAAGAGCTGGATCTCTTCTGAAAGAAAATTTCCTCCAAAATGGACACCTTCTGATATTTTTTTAATAAGAACATCATATCTTTATTTTAGAGGAACGAAACATTACTTGAATCAACAGAGAAACTTTGCATGAATTTTGATTTCAAGGAAGAGACTAAACCTGTGATATCTTTAAGAGGAAAATTCCATCATGTTTGAGAACAGTATTCTTCGCAGCAACACTGAAAGCAGCGTTCTCCAGTAGTCCACTAGTCAGCAGTAGCCACCAGCAGGACGAGATATCATATCTGACCACTTGTACGTGTACTGTAATCGTAATCAAACAGCTGGAGAGTTGTTCAGTGGAATGATAACAAACTATAGTGTCCGTTAAGGAAGTCGACTGTTTCCGCCTTTCTTTAACATCATCATAGATGTACTAGTTGTAATGGTCCTAACAAACTGCATAGACTTAAGGATCGACTTGTTGCCAAAGAACAGTCTTGTTGAATAAGAATATGAAAATGATACTATCCTCCCTAGGTGTAGACGTTGGTAAGGTTTAGAGTCTTATGAATACCATGGGCAGCAGTCTTCAAATGTTTAGCATGTGGTTCACTCCTGTCAAATGTAAGATAATGCTGTATGAACTGAAGACGAAATCTCAGCACGGATACACAAGGCTCATTTCGTATATGCCAGTTTACACTGTTTCTGGCCTAGCAGACGAGATATCCGACCAGCTGTTGACGAAAGGGTATGTGCACTGCTCAGCAGTACGCTCTATCCTCCTTTATGACTGTGAGATCTGGCCTTCGAGATTGGAAGGCATAAAAAGGTTAGTTGTCTTTTATCATAGGTGTCTGGGTTCTATCTAATGTGTGTTAAATAGTATTATAGAGTGAACAATATTGAGATTAGGCATCTAGTCGAGTGTTAGGTAAGGAGGGGAAATCAATCAACAACGCTGGGAAGTTATATTGACTGATTTGATTAGGACATGTTTTTCGTATGCCTAGCCACCGCATTCTTCGATGGACAATGTTAGCTGACATAGGATCAGATTAGAAAAGAGCCAGCTAGTGGTGGTCAAACCAAAACATGGCTTCATAAGTCGATGAAATCCACCACAGTTAGTTTAAGCCAGCGATCTCCACACATAGAGAGGTGTACACTGGCTTCCTGGTTCGGGTACTAGGCACGATAAAAACCAATGTCTAGAGACAATTGCTGACAACAACCAGCCAACATAAATGGGAGAAATCTAAAAGAAGCAACCTCCTTTACCTACCCACCTAACTACCTACCTACCTGAGAAGCATCGTTTCAATTACAGGGGGACAGATGATGATAAGGATATCATCAAAGCGATGATCGGGAAAGCAAGTCAAGCTTTCACTATTCTCAAGTCTGTGTGTAGCCATCAACACTCAACACTCAGCATGAAAAATAATATCCAGATTTTCGATTCCAATGTGAAGTCAGTGCTAGTCACTATAGAGATCAGAGACTTGATGCTTCGCCGCGTCGAGTCACGAAGACCACTTCAAACAAGGCACATAGCATCATCAACACCTGTCTTCCATCGATAAATCGCTCAAGATCAGATGACCAGCCAGAAAACTTCACCAACAGGGATCTCTGGCAATGAGCGAACCAACTCAGCAGGAACCGATTGTGCAACAAATATGGATTGTCCATATTCTCAGAAACAAACGATCACGTGAGTGACACCACATGCCAGGCCACCGTTCGAGTGAGACCCCAACGGAATGGGGAGAGATAAGTTGGTTGTCAGTGCGAGGGTGACATGGAGGAGGAAGTGATGCAGAGAAGAGGAGATGCGAAAGTGTGTGGGTAGACATGGAGCCAGGTGATGAAAATGTTGGCAGAGAGTCGAACACAATGAAGACATGCGGCTGAAACCCTATGTTCCTCCCCTAAGAACTAAAGGAAACAATAATAATAGTAATGTAGTAGTGTTTTTGCCCTGTAAACAGATGATAAGAAGCCAACGAAATAAAGAATTCTACAAAAACCACACTGTTATTGTTCTTGCTTTATTCAAATTCATATTAAAAGGGGGAATAAGTGGTATGAAGTAATATCTGTTTGTGATGAAATCTCCGATAGACAGTTTAATGTGTTCAACATAAGGCATGGGGAACAAACACTACGGAAGTAACACAACAAAAGGGAGGAATCTTCTGTAGTTTACACATGATTTGTGTACGTTTATATGGGCGGATAGATAATAATAATAATAATGGAAAAATTTAATATATTGTGACTGGCGTTTTTTAATAATGTTTGACGCCCTAGAATTGTCAGTCCTGAGGAAGAAATTTATTGTTTTCAATTCAAAGATAGGCAAAGACTAGGTTCTTTTGAGTTTTGAACATTTCATACATCTCAGTAACCTTGTAAGGGCTAATATTTCTTCGGTTTCTGCAGTCAGAGATGCTGCCACTAGCCTATTCAACTTCTTGAATCAGTACTTCGTTTCAGCTTGATAACCTTTGTCTCCTTTTCAACCTTATCTTAATCAGCTAAGATTACTTTTTGAGGTAGGAGCAGTGATTTGGAATGAATAGTATACATATCCTTGAGATTTCAGCCGGTGGAGCTTGACAACCGGTAGTGATTAACATTTGATCACGGATTGACATCTCAGTTAAAGAACCATTGGAAACTACCGAGGACTCTTTGATCGTATACACCAACCGGGGGTTGGAAACCGGTACTTTCCAGTTAAAAGGCAAACTTGTGTACCAATCAATCACTGGGAATCAGTCCAGTTAATCTGATGTTTGTAAGTGGTGACTGGTGGTTACAGGATGAATTTGCCGGGAGTTTTAGTGAGGAGGATGGGATCCACCAGGTCAGGCGTGAAGACAAATACTCGCCGACACACTGATACTAGCTAGTGGTCACGCTGAAATCGTGAAATGTTGAAGGTTACATTTCATATTTTGGTCAATGAATTAAGTCCAGTGGCAGAATGTTATAAGAGATTGTCTTGTAACCAGGAAGGTCTTGGATTTGGACCCCAGGGTGTCCTAAACGAGGACGAAACGGCCGTGCGGTACTCCCTATTGGTCTTCAATGGTTCTCCTACTAATATTAATCCGTCATTCATATTGTAATAATTTACCCTCATTATACAAAAAAAAATACAGGCAAAAAACCGACAAATTGGCTGAAAAGGCAGAGAAGACAGGACTACAGGTGAGCATAGAGTGGACGCAGGTGATAAAGATAACCATCCTACAGGAACAGCAACAACAACAACAACCAGCACCAATCGCCATCAAAGGGGGAGAGATTTGACAGAGGCTACTTCCTTCTTTCACTTATCCAGGAAGCCCCGTTTCTACTACAAGCGGAACAGATGAAGATATCATCATCATTCTGAAACCGGGGTCTGGAAATCTTCTACACTAACTCGGAATATACAACAAGGATTTAAATTCTGTTCCACACAAATATGAAGTCAATCAATTCAGCTGTATGGTGGCTCAGAAACTTGGCAAGCGTGTCAACAAAAGGATTTCTAACAGGCTGTTGCAAACGTTTATCGTCAACTTTCTTCGCTGAATACTGAAGATCAGTTGGCCAGAAAGAATGAGTAACAAAAAAGAGTCTGAGAACAAACTAACAGGCGAGAGCCGATTGCTCAACAATTTTGTAAGCGAAACTGGAGATGGATAGGTCGGGCATACATTGAGGAGACCCATGAATGAAATCATGCACCAGGACATTGCTCGAGTGGCATCCCAATGGGAAGCAGAGAGTTGTTCGTCGGTGCGCAAGGGTGACATGGAGGAGATGAGAGAGTTTGGTCAACCGTGGACTCACCTGAAGAGGATGGCAGAAAATATAACACAGAATGGACATGTGTTGTTGAAGCCCTCCCTATATTCCACTCAGGACCCAAGAGAACAATTATTAATAAAAATAAAAGCGAGTTAGATAATTACAAAGATTGAAACTTAATAGAACAAAAGTATACGGTATAATAGTAATGGACTGTAAAATAGGTTTATAAGTTCTTTTCTAACAGTGTCGTCTCTTCACACAACACTCTCTTTCAATATGGTATACTTAAATTTCTATATTCAGTAGCCGTATGAGCATAAATTCCTATTTTAAAACAATTAATGTTTGCTTTATGAATTTAGTTAGACAAAGCAATAAGAAGGATGACGTAATTTGTCTGAATCGTGTTGTACTAGTGTATTTGCCCAACACACATTTCGAACAGTTTGATCACACTCCATGTACTTGTCATAGTGTGGTGAGAGCAGGCCGTGAGAAAATATGAGCAAGGCTGATTCAACAACCAATCACAGCAAAGTTAACGTGGCAAAATATGATTCGCAGATAGAGAACTCTATTTGTCAAGGAATCCCGAAACAACCAATCAGAAGCCTGCGTTTGTCTGCCTAACTTCTGATAAACAACCAATCAGATGACTGCGCTTGTCTACTTGCATAACCTATAATAATGTATGTGAAATATGTATAAATACGTGTTGATTTTCATAATAAAACGATCTGTTGCCTGGCCCTTGTCTTCTGTTGTTACAATAGGAATGTATATATATGAAATTAATAAAGAGTTAAGAGGTGAGAAAATAGACTACTTAGGTCAAGTTAAAAGGCCTCCATATTCAAGGTCAAAATAACAATGAAGATCAATCACTAGACCAAATAGCAGAGGTAATAGCACATCTACCCTGGTTGGTATCAAAACAAAGTTTACCAAGGAAGGTAGTTTAGTATGATGACGAATTGTTGCTTTGAATGCATAAAGGTGGCTTGAACTTTCTAATTGTCAGTTGAGGCTTCCACAAACTTTATGATACGCCCCAAACACGTTTTATAGATAGGTTTAAAAGCTGTGTGTAAACATCAATTTTATGTCCTGTCTCCTCTGTAATATATTTCGCAATAGGGTAGCTAATTCACCTGTTCTCAACATTAATGAGTTCTGGGGATTCTATTTGCTTCTGGAACCATTTAAAAATATGCTCTGAAACGTGTTTGGAGTGTATCCCAAAAGTTTCTAGAATCCCTAACTGGTAATTGGGAAGTTTAAACCATCACCTTTAGGCGTTCAAAGCAGCAATTCATCATCACACTAAACTAACTTCCTTGGCAAACTTTGTTTTGATATCAGTCAGGGTAGATGTACTATAACTTCTGTTATTTTGACCTTCAATATGGCGGCCTTTAACTTGACGTTTACTTATTTTCTCACCTCCCTTAACTGTTTATTAATTTAATATATATATGTACATTCCTATGACAGGTACGTGGAGTGTGATCAAATTGTTCGAAATGTATTGCGCATGTTCACATTACACGATTCAGATAAATTCTTGTGAAATTTCTTCCGGTTTTATCCAAAGTGATCCAAAAAGAAAGTTGGGAATATGCAGAGAAGTACGTCCACTACTCAACAAGATGACTTTAGTCCTTGGAACAATGTGACACTCCTAATCCTGCTTACAATCTTCAAAGTTATATCTAGTATGACATAGTGGAATACTTGAGAAGAATAGAAAGAATGACTGAATGAATGTACAATATTGGTTTCACCTGCCAGATTTCGTCCTGACTTGAGGCTTATCCACAGCGTTCACCCACAACCTCACCGGTAGACATCGAACCTGGGAGCTTCAAGTTACGAAACTAACCTCGTCGACCATTCAACCCCTTTGGCTGGAATTCAGTGGATATCTGCACACTTCATCAAAAATTGTTTAAAATCGAGTCATAACACTAACAAGAAACCATCATCAAAGACTACAAGAAAATTCCTCCTACCATGCATAAAAAATATCTCTGAAATAACAGCTAGAATATTGAAACCGTTTGAAATAGATATAGCACACAAGTTAGCCAGCCAGCCAGCCAGCCAGCACAGTCACTTCATACTGTATTGTGCAAACCAAAAGACCCATCCAACAGTAAAAGGAGGTAAAATTAGTACCATTTAAAATAAAATTGTACGGAATGTAACAGGCATTACAACGGCCAAAGTGGACGTCCCATTCGATTCAGAATCCAGGAACACAAATCAGCTGTGAAAAGACATGATATATCTACAAGCTTTCATACCAATGTATATGGATAATGATGGACTTCAGTCTGATTGGGATAATGTTGAAATTTTAAACAGAGGAGATATCAAAAGTGCAGTCGGAGAATTCCTAGAAGCCTGCTTGGTACTCAAGTGAATCAGCCAGCGATTAATAAGCATATTAATGTAGAACAAATATACCAACTAATAAAAAGTAAATCATGTGACGAGAAAGTTCAAAACCTAAATCAATAAAAAATGATCAATACAGGTGTAAAGATGGTTACCGGGAGACTCAATTCTATCCCACACGGAAAATTTAAATCAGTTCACTTTATGCTTAAAATTGCGCTGAAAGGGGATGTTGTCCAGGAGGATGACAAAAGTCTCGCAATTAAATCAAACAGCTTCTCAGAGAACACCCCCAACTGCAAATCAGTGACTCGTGAGTTCTTACTTTGTCAGTTTATGATATGATCGTACCGTGAATTTGTACCCCTATCCATTTTGGTTTGTCATGCTGGACCTTAGTGTCTACATATATATAACGTGGTTCGAGTTTCGATTCACGGCCGCAAAAGCACTCCTTTACCTCTCTAAGCCAGGAGTAATAAGACTGGTAAAGAGGGAAGGTTGGATATGAAACTGGCAACCGCATTCCGTAGAAATAAACACTACTGCTACCGGGACTTCAAGCCTCTTTAGCTTGAAGTCCTATGTTCCAGCACTGGGAACGTAAAGGCATAAAAAAGGATATTCAAGCATTCTTCATCAACAAACTAAACTAGCTGTCCACCCACTGAACTTACTTACCTTCGCTGCAACTATACTCAATCCTAAACTATTATTATACTTTTTTAAAAAGAATTGTGTAATCGATTTGATTGGAACATTCGCGTCTTTTGCTAATTGTTCATAACTCGCATGACTTAAATCTGGTAGTGAAGCATGCGTTCTTGTCTCTTTATTGGCTGACAATAATGGATTGAATGATGATTTCTGTAGTGTACTCGGCTTATTCGGTTGATAACGAACTGTTTGTGTAGAAAATTCTTTGAAATTACTTCCACTACTGTCAATACTACCGGTGTCGCCTGTTAGACTGTTGGAAGAATGGCTTAAATCATCATCTGCATCATCCACACCGTGGCTGTGTGTTCGTTGTTTTAGTTTATCTGACTTGTGATGACCAAGATTGGTAGTAGCCGGAGTGCTTGGACTTTTACGATCTTGACAAGATTTCGACAGTGTTCCTTGTCGTCTTGACTGTACTGTATGCTGACTACGATTGTCGTGTTCTTTTTCATACTGAAATTTAGTAGAACAAATAATGATAAAACAGATGAGTAAAAGATAGGTAGTGCGGGGGGGGGGTTCAATATATGTGATATTAGCGGATAACTGGCGTCGATGACATAGCAGTTAGGACGCTAGCCCACCATGCACATGCTCTGGGGTTCGATTCCCAGCCGACGCACACCTAATGCCAATGATCGGCCTGCTAAATGTTTGGGCTACCAATATCACATGCTGAAAATTCTATACTTTTATCGAAAATACTGTGTGGAGTCAAGTTACAAAAAAATAAAATAAAAATTACCAAGAAAATCACAGTTACGTCAGAATTCACTGATGTCTCGTTTCACTTTATACTCTGGAAATCTCATGAAGAAATGAGACAAAATAAGAAATATTAATCTTGTGGTAGGAGGAAGTTCCATATTCGTTTGTTTATTGCATATTCCTTGCTCGACAACCGATACTTGAAAATGAAGGCATTTGTGTATGTTCGAACCAAGTTCACTTTTAACAGTTTGAAAGAACTTGAGCATTGAGTATATGATTTATAATAAAGGTTTTTTCTATGCATTTCTCAATGAATGAAAAACAAAACGATACTCTGTCGTTGTTATTTTTACTGACGTTTCGCTATTTAATGCTGCTGCTAATAGCTTTATCAAATTTGTGTTATTAAACGTGAAATTGAAAAAAAAATCCACAGATCCTATATGCATAACAACTTAATCAGAGTTCCTAAGCATGGGGACAATTTTTCCTTGTCAAATTGGCCATTTGGTAAAGATAACAATGTGCAGACTGTCGGATTTAATACGTGTGCTCACTCTATACTGAAGATCAAATGGCCTGCCGGCTAGGCTACAAGAAACTTTGTAGTAAAACAAACCAGTAGACGTGAGGCGATTGCTCAACAAATATGTAGGAGAAATTGGAGATGCTTCGGTCGACCATACGTTGAGGAGACCGTCAAATGAAATCGCTCGCAGTGTAGTCCATCCATCGCTTAAGTGGAATCCTAATTAGAAGCGACGAGTGGTTCGTCGGTACGAGTATGACATGGAAAAGTTCATGTGGGGATTAAGAGATGGTCTATCATGGAGCCATCCAGCTGTAGAGGACAGTAGCAAATAGAAAAGCGTTGAGATGTGTTGTTCAAGCTCTATGCTCCACACGAAACCTAAGGAATAATAATAATACTAATAATAACATTACCTACATGAAACCTGAAGTTAGCTTTACCAATTGTGTATTGTTGGTAGAACAAACATAACTGGTGGATCCCAAAACTTTGACGGAACAACTGTTTCTAACTTAGTCAAATCGAAGAAATTTAGCTCACAGTCATGTGGACAAAAAATATGCTATGCAGATCAGGAACGTAATTACCAATACACTGGAAAGATAGTTCTCATCAACAGACATTATTACCATTATCAACAACACTGGTTCCTTACGTTCCGAGTACAACAAAACGGTTCAGTAGCATTCCTTCATTACACTCTTTTCGCTGACATCATTTTCACCTATCTCAATAACTGCTGAGATTTTTTCATTTCCCCTTTCCATAATCTCTTTCAAGGTATCCTCGCAGCCACGACCAACTGGTTAGCTTCCCATTCGGTTTCCACTCAAGGCTGGTTTTCTCAAGATATATCCACCCAATCTCCATTCCCTACGGCATATCTACTGCGTAGCAGGCTATCAATTAGTTTGCTGCCAGCGTCCTATTTGGCTAATCGTCTCTGGAACAACCACCTGACCTTCAGTATCTAGCAAAGACATATGTTGACGAAAGTTTGTATTAGTCTATTGGAACTGATTTTGATGACCCACGTGTCGACACCCAGGACATGACAAAAGCGCTGATTCACTTGATATTGTTGTCAAAAAAAGATCATGTTCCTTTTGTTTTGTGACGTAGATCTCACACATTGACTTCGGAGTAGTAAACGTCTGTCTCTACCACCAGATGCCATCCTGACTGGCTTTGAAATCCGCATGCGTGACAACTGTACCATATTGCCCCTATTCATGGTAGTGGCGCTTATTATTGTTGTTAACTAAAAGACACTAGTGAAGATCTATTTTGATTCTTGTTTCAATCAAAAATAATATGTACTTGACAACAGCATTAATTGTTTTTAATGTGAAATTATTTGCCTACTCATTAGTAGTTAAAATAATAATAAGCAAATAAACTCACCATCGCTAATCGCATACAATTAGTCCATGGTCGATTTTCCAACTGGCCATTAGTTATTGGATGTTTTTTCACCTTGATCAACCCATCTTTAATCAATGGACGTAGAAAATCTAGCAGACCATCAGGAATACCAGTCAGTACAGCATCTGAGGCGTAACCGTCAGCTGGTAACAATAAAGGAATTGGGAGTTCTTTTAATTCATTCAGCTGTAATTCAGAAATTGGTATATCTGATTGTCCTGTACTAATATAATGCTCCATTTCATCGGCGTATGCACGATCATTTACCTGAATACCAAAAGAAAACCCCAATATATACATTATAGTTAATTTGTGTATTTTGAAATATATTCATTATGTCATTAAAATCACGGAATATACATTGGGTCATAGGAATTATTAAGGAGAAAGTTGCAGCGAAGAAAATTTTCTTTTCGACGAATTCATCAACTAGATAGCTGTACATTCGTGTATTTATATCAAATGGATGGGAAAGTTCCAGAATAATTTCCGGTTAAGGGTCAAATTAATAAAAATTACAATTAGGAATTAAAATGCCATTATAAACAGACAGAGGGACGGATAAAGCTCAAACAAAGTAGCATCATAATGACTAAGAAGATTAACATTGTGCGATTGGGGGCTAGAAAGGTGGAAATAAAAAAAATTAATAGGATGTTTGGATAAAAAAAGCTAATGTGATGAATAATTGTTTATGCAGTCAGGGATTACATATGTAGAAATAGTAACACGAAGCTCGGGTATAAAAATATGATAGTGTAAACAGGCATTAAGAAAAACTTAAAAATAACATGAATAAACAGAAAGTTTAGATAAGAAAGGCGATGGGATGGTCATTACTAAAAGAATTACCTGTTTATTATGGCCATAGCAGGGACAGGGGTTGGACGTGTTTCTTTTGGATACACAGAGTGGGTTTGATCTTTTGGATAGCTAGTGCCTCTGCTGTACCCAAATGTCCTGATTTCACTCCCTTTGATAGATTTGATTGAATCTTGTATATTACTTTTAAGGATTTTTCGAAAGGCGCTGAATGTCCTGAACTGATCAGATGTGCTGTCACTGAATTGCATACACGTTTTTGGTCTCCTTTTACTGGCTAGGCTGGATAGTGTTCAGGAGCGCGTTTTTCAAGTCGGCGTATGGCACGGCCGATGTATTCAGCTCCACAAGAACAAGTAAACTGGTATATGCACGTTGAGGTAGCCCTATGCGACAGCTTGTCTTTCGCAGTCTGGATGAACAGTTTCTTGCAGGAAAACGTCAGTCGTACGCTCGCGGCGAAGTATGTTTTTATCAGCGATTTGGAGAGGCGTTTACGAAGGATTTTTGCTTCAATATCACCTTTGAATTCTAGATTAAGCAGAAGTATTTTCTTTGGAACGGATTGGACTTTGCTCAGAAGTTTTCTTTGGTTTGAGATTCTTGTCTATGAACCTGGGTGGGAAACTATTTTCCATAAGGGTTTTTTGGAGATTACGCAGTTCTTCTTCACTTCACTTCCTCACTGCATATCTTCCGAATCCTCGAGGAAAGAGCGTATATCAGGTTCCTCTCTCTGCTCAGGGCCACGAAGCTTTGAAAGTTGATGAATTGTCCATTCCATGTAGGCTTTTTGTATATGGACCTTTTCAGAGAGTTGTTGGCATTTCTTGTCAGATGGACGTCGATGAAGTGAAACATTCCGTCGGATTCAGTCTCAAGTGTGAAGTTGATGTTTGGGTGGGCGTTACTGAAGATTTGAAGTAGGTTTTTTAAACCACAATTCTCATCACAAATAATGAAAGTAACATCGATATCCGAACTTCTTGTTTATTTTGTCATTTTACTATTTCTACATATTTAATCCCTGATGTCAATCTTTTAAGTAAGTAAAATGTGAATTAAACATTGCTTACAGACTGTTTTCTTTGTATTACTCTAGTCTAAAGTGTGTATTCTGATGGGTTGGTCTAGGTGTTTATGCGTACTTGATCCACGTTATCCACAAACTAGGTACTTCACAAAACTGCTGGCTTACAGGATTAGATTTTGTAGATTCAAGGATCTACATATTGCCGTGACGAAATACTCCACTCTTTTCAAAAGAGATTTGGAAGTCACTTTCATTCACACCTAGAACTTTAGAGACGTAACTTATGGCTGCTGGTACAAACTTAATGATAGTTGAAATTGAATAGCTTTGATTGTAAACTAGTTAGTAACTATTGTGATGTGTGCATCTAGTCTTTGGTGTTTGGTGCAGACAGAATTCTATCAGTCAAGTTTGCAATGTCTCCACCATTCTAGGTTGCTTGCCGTCATGGTGTACTGTGAATTGTTGATATTAGATGATTGGAGGCAGTCGGCAGGAAGACTTGCTGAAACCTAGGTTTCGTGCTAGTTGGCACTCACTAGTCAGTAAGGCCTATTTGCGACCTTGAAGGAACAATTCATGTCACTTCTGAGATTCCAACCAGCAACATCCACTGCAAACGTGACTGGTAGAATTACCATTACTTTTTTCCCTTACGTTACCAGTGGAGCATAGGGCTTCAAGCTAGAGCTCTTTTGGAGTTTCGGTGACAGCCTAGCATAGCTGAGATAATAGCTATAGAATATTTTCAGCCCATCCTTTGTGTTTAAAGAAAGTTTGTCCAATCGTTCTTTCGCCCTTGGCCTTTAATCCTAACCTAAAATAGTCATCCAGGCAAACTGGATAGCTGTAAATATTATTTTCATATTTATTTTTACCGCCAACTTCACGTTTGATATTATGCTGCGCTACAGTTGTATATTTTAATCCCAGTTTCACAATTCGCAGTAAACTGGTGGGTGTTGACTACCAGTAGAATCCAGGATGCACATTTCATCCTAGTTGGGACTCATCTGCTAGTGGATACACCTGAATTCCTGGGTGAGTAATGGTTTTCCCACTGAAGAAGCTATAGGTTATGAGTTAGATCCTCAGTGGAAAAACACCATCACTCATTCAGGAATTCAGGTGTATCCACTAGCTGACAACTCCCAACTAGGATGAAATGTGCATCCTGGATTCCATTGTTATTCACCATCCACCAACTAACTTGAAGTTAAATAATCACACACCATCGAAGTATCTGCACAAGAAGCCGACATGTCAACCTGTAGTTGAGCATCTCAGTACATTGGTGAAAAATTCTGTACTAATGTTTATGCTTTCTCTGCTCAAATTTTTTAATACAGAGAATTCTTGCCTGAAATATTGAATAAAGAGGTTTTATATGACCTTAACAAACACTAAATTCAGTGGCATATTTAAACATTTAGGGATCAATGACATTATAACAGTAAGAGAAAACGCTGCAACACAGGTGCGCCATAACTGATGACAAATCATTTATTATTGTTTCCTTTAGTTCCTAGAGGAACATAAGGCTTCAGTCACATGTCTCCACTGCATTCGGTTCTCTGTCAACGTTTTCATCACCTGGCTTCACATCTGCCCACATAACTTCATCTTCTCTTCACATGACTTCCTCCTCCATGTCACCCTCTACTGAAGACTAACTCGCCACTTCCCATTCTGTCGGGTTCCACTCGAGCGATGGCCTGGTGTGTGATGTCACTCACTTGATGTTTTTTTCTCAGATTATGGACAATACACCTCCATTCCCTCCTGCATATTTGTTGCACAACTGGTTCCTGCTGAGTTGGTTCGTCCATTGCCAGAGATTCCTGTTGGTGATGTTTTCTGGCCGATCATCTGATCTTGAGCGATGTATTGAACGAAGACAGCTGTTAATGAAAGTCTGTATTTTGTTTGAAGTGGCCCTCATGATGTGGCGTCAAGTCTCTGATCCGTATAGTGAGTAGTAGTACTGACTTCGCATTGAAGTTGGAGATCCTGATGTTATTTTTCATGCTAAGTTCCGAGTGTTGATCTCCATATAGACTAGAGAGTAATGAAAGCTTCTCTTGCTTTCCCAACCCTCGCTGCTTTGATATCCTCATTAGTTCCATTGGCCCGTAGTTGAAACGATGCTTCCCATGTAGGTGAGTAGGTAGAGTAGGTCGCATCTTTCAGATTTCTCACATTTATTCTGACTGATTGTTGTCTGTTGTTGTTGTTGCTGTTGGCGAGGAATTTTCATCATCACCTCTGTTTTCACTATGTTCGCCTGTAGTCCTATCTTTCTTTGATGCTTTTTCTGCCAACTTGTTTGTTTTCATTTGCATACCTTGAAGTTTGTGGGAAATCAGACATATATCACATCGGCGAAATCCAGATCATCCAAGTTTTTTGTAAAATTGGGTCCATTTTATACCTGTCTCCTCTCTGCTCGCTGTCTACTGATGACAAAAATAAACCAGATTTAAGGGTACATAACGATGACTCTCATTACCAGATGAAAGGAACAACACTATATATATACATACACATAGAAATTAAAGAATCAACTCACCTCTTTAGCACCAGTTACAATCAAATCAATCCATTCATCAGGAACAGGTGGAGGGTCGGATAAATGCGCTAATAACCATTCCAATTGAATACTATTCAATGATATTAAACTTATACAATGTTGATAAAATTCATCCAGATTTGTACGATTAGCCATAATCAGTTGACACGCCTAACAATAAAAAAAAATTAATCCAAAAAATTCATAATTGTAGGTTGTGGGTTTTGTTTGAATTTGATTTTCATTTTGGCGTATATTTCGTTACAAAATAATAACATCATTTAGAGAATCTAAAATCCTTTTGCTTGATGTTGAACTTAAAAGGAGAGCTGACGTAACTTTAAGAAGTTCCATCCCTAGGAAACCCACATGGAAAGGCCAAATGACAAGCTTCTACAGCTAGGTACCAATCAATCGGAAAAGAAACCTAATTAGATCTCTTGCCACTCGCGTCAGACGCATCTGCAGCTTTGATGCCATGGAAGAAGAACTGAACTTCCTGAAAGAAATCTTCTTACAAAATGGTTACCCATCGAAATTCGTAGACAAAAACATCAAACAAAAAATCCAAAAGCAAGAGACACCACCCGTACCAAAAAGATACTTTATATGAACCTCGACTTCAAAGGTGACCTATTCAGTGATGTCCTTTAGAGGAGAATTTCCACTTCTTCAAGTAGAACTTTATTCTTGGCAACATTGAGAGTAGTCCTTCTCCAGTCGCCCGCTGATCTACAGAAGCTCAAAGGACAAGATCCCGCACCTGACCACTTCTATGTGCATATATTATCAGTTAACCTGTTGTTGTGGAGCCAGCCAGGTACATCGGTCGTTCAACGCGCATCGTGTCAAAAAGGATCAAAGAACACTATCCCGCGTGGCGGCAGAAAGGAAATAATGGCCGTATAAGTAGTGCGATAATCGAACATCTCGTCAACACTGGTCATTCCATCTCAACAAACACCTCCAGCTTCAAAGTAATCTACAAAGTGAAGAACAACTTGCCAAAGACAGTTAGATCCCGTCTTTTTTGCATCGCAGAAACCCTAGCCATTTAGTTAGAAGAACCAGAACTGTGCATAGAAAAGAAAATTATTCAACCACTTCTACTCGCATGGTAACAACTCCGTTGATTTGACTTAACTTTTGTTTGTTTGTTTGATTTGACCTTACTTCTGTTTGTATGCTTATTTTTTCTAACTTAAAACCCTTGTGTAATTCTGTATATTATTTTGTTTCCATGTACACCCTGAGCACAACTCATTCATCAAACTATTTATGCCATTACGTAACTCTTATTTAACAATCATTTATGACAACTCATTACTTTTGTTGCTATCCTCCTATATCAACATCCAATTCATCTGAAGTTATGAATTGTATTTTCGTTTGACAAATTTAATGTACTCACACATCTACAAAACAACCATATATATCTGCGATTGTACAGCTATGGAAATGAATTTGACGAAAACGGAGAGTATTCGCTGAACTACTGGTCTTCTGTCTATTTACAGAATCACTGAAAACCAAAGATTATTGGGTGTCTGTTTCAACCCGGTGTAGGACTTTTCATCAGTGCATACCGAAAGACCCATTAAGGAATCAAACCCGAGATCGTTAGATTATGAGACCAAGCCGGTTAAACACTTAGTCACTTGATCGGGAATTAAGTAACCCGTGAATTCTAATTATCGTCATTTCGGGAATGTACAACTACCGCCAAACAATGCCATCAACCGGCATCCACTTCATTAGGAAGTAATGGCCCTTACTGGCCACAACTTCTTAAAAGTCAAGGGTCATTGAATTTCGACTCAAGTATCTGAATGGTCAACGAGTTGGCCTGGTAACCTAAAGTTCCTGGGTTCGATTCTCGGTAGATTCATTGGTGCTCATGGCTGAAGAATTCCAAACGATTATCTCAGCGGTGTCCTAGAGGTCCGTGATTTCCATTTATCTCTAACTGATTCCGGTTCGTTTTATCCTAACTGGTTGTCAAATTTATACTTAGAGTCAATATAATTTCAGTTTAGACACTGTTACGCATTGAAAGCAGTTAGAAGGTCACTGAAGATTATAGGGCACCTGTTTCACGGGGGCTAAAGAATCTTTAGCTGCATGCTCCTGAGATGGATTCAAGCACCCTTCGGTTATGGCTTTTTATAGGATCTGAATTTCAGTCTTTTGTCCTCTAGAGTTTATACGATCGATATCCTGAACTTCTAATAAGAAGTTGTCGTCAGTAGGGTTCATCATTTCAGGTGTGGAGAAAAGGTTCATTGATGATGGCGATCATAAAGAAGTTAGATTTTAAAAATCATTTGATTCTACCTCGATAGAAGAGCTCGTCACACTGTTCTAATTCCTGGTGGAGCCATTTAAATCAACTACAGAAGAACCCCAAGATAGGGAGAAACAGTTTTCAAGTCCTTCACGGCTTCCAATAACTCTCTAACTGATGAAATAACTCAATAGATTTGTGAATGACAAAGATGAACACTACACTCACAACACGAAATATAACATGTCAAACCTAGTGAGATTTAGGCTAGTTATAATGCAACACAATGCAAAGACCACTCTAGTTGAAAAGGTTTTCAAAACTGTCCACTTGTCACTTGTCAAAACTAAAATGTTCAGATTAATAAGGTCACAATTCACGTTGCTTTGTCTGTTGTTAAATAATCGATACCCAAATCAGTGATGACGTAATCACTTCGATGAATATGCATAGAATGACATTTCACAGAGGAAAAGCATATAAACCTTATGATTATGTTAAAATGAGACATTTAGAGCTAAGGGGTAAACAAAAAGAAGCAAGAAAATGAGTGACAATTGACTGAGCTGTGCTCATTCTACTGTCATCAACACGAACAATGATGAGAGACAGTATTGCATAGAGATGCGATAAAAATATAGTAACAGAAAGATGATTTGTTTGACGCACTGTTAATTTTGTAATTTTAGTTAGAAAACCATAGGAAAACCAACTGGAAGTATTGAACAGCTGTTTCGTCCTGGTTCGCGACTTCTCATCGGTATGCACCAACTAGCGTTCGTACCCAGAAACTTCTGGTTACAGGGCGAGCTTGTAGACCATTGAGCCACTGGGACCGGATCCAGTGAATTCCCGACACAGTGTGACCATTTCGCAATGCCTCCTTCAACCTGCTGTGCACTACTGATTTCACAGTGACGAAAGCCGGTCTTACCATTTCGATCCGACCAATAGAGAAGATCAGAAATCTGTTTTTCATGTATAGATTCGATTTCACGTCTGAAACAATTCAGGAAGGCACTAACTTTATAACTGTGTCATAAAGACTACAAGAGCCTTCCAACAGAACACAGCTGCTTACCTACCTGCACTACTAAGTTTTTGATTGTAAATTCAAATAACCAAAAATACCCATTGAGTCTTGAATTTTTTTATTTTATTTTTTATTTACAGCTTGATTCCTCACTGTATTTTCGGTACAAGTATGGAATTTTCAGCATGGATATCGGTAGCGCAAATTTCGCAGGCCGACCATAGATATCAGGTGTGCGTCGGTGCGGACTCAAACCCCGGACCATGTGTATGGTCGGCGAGAGTCCTAACCACTGTGCCACCGACGCACAAATTCGGCGAAGAAAATGTTTTCTTCATCGACGAAATCATCTCACTAGAGGCTGTACCCAGTCGTATTTATATTTACCACAAATGTATAGTAGTCCATGAGTGGTAATAGGGGGCAGGGTGATATAATTACTCAGAAGTGGCTTCAAAAGTAAGAAAGGAAGTTGTAAATTACATAGTACTCAACGGCGCTAAGGAAGAAAGCGTTAGAAGTTTGATCAGGTTAAAATTGCTCTTGAGTGAGAATAAAGGTGGTAGTTGAGTGTCAATTTAACAAGTGTGAAGAGGGTGTGAAAATGTACAAAAGAAACATATGAGAGTGATAATAGTGAATTAATTATTAAAGTAAAAGCAAACTAAAAGTAAAATTGAAATTTTTTTTACAAGGAACGAATAGTGAAGAGGTTAAGACTAAGGTAGAGACTGGACAAACGTTTTCTGTATACAGAGTTCGGGGTTGTACTAACGAATTTCCAACGCCTCCGTCATACACAAGTGCCGAAACCTGATGCCCTTCGTACTATTTGGCCTTACCTTGTAGAAGGTCTTGAAAGACGGCTCTGGTGGGGCTACATGGCCTGAGTTCACCAAATGCTCGATAAATGAGTTAGTAATTGTCTTGCCGAATAATGTTGAGAGATGAGTTTGGAAAGTGTGCTCTTTTTATGGCCAATATTACCAGCTCTGCGGGAGCAGGTGAATTTATGAACACACATTGAAGTGGCCGAAAGCAGAAGTTTACCCTTCACACATCCATTGATCATTTGTCGGCCGTAGAAATTGATCCGTAGTTCACCCGTGAAGAAGGCTTTCCTCAGTGTGATCTGCATAAGCGATACTTCAGGATCTCAGCTGGGGTATCACCTTTAAATTCAACACTCATAAATAGCAGTTTCTTCGTCACTGTCTCGGTTCTTTCAGGCTTTTGTAAATTCAAACGATGTCCACAGTTTACACAATGTCTTTGTAACAAAGAAAATCGAAATCTTCAAGAGATTTAGAGATAACTCGATCTTGTCAGTGTTTCACACACTAACAGCCCAAGTTCAGGAATAACTCCCAAAGCGTTGGCGTTGATTTCATTCCTTGTGCTCAAATTTCGAAGATTCTCTAGTGATGATGTTGTTTCTCTAGAGCATGAAGTCGCTAGACTGAAACCCGCCTCCCCTCTTTTCGGAGGTTACTAATTGCCAGAAAACCAGGTGACATTCATGAGGGCGTCTACCAAGGGATTAAATCCTAACCTCCAGCTTGGTTGGCAAGCATCTTAACACTGACACCCACAGATACACAAAGTTCACTTTGGTCAGACATTTTTAAAATTTTAAATCGACATATATTTAGAGACTATCACACTCATCAGATGCTTCCACCGCATCAATCAGTCATACATTCAAAAATCAAAATTATCAATTTACCTGTGTACATCGTTGTAGACGACATTCAACAGCCAATTCAAGACCTTGTTTATGCGCCCATCTTTTAATCCGATCCAATCGTCTGTTCAATCGGGATGCACCAAGTCGCGTCAGCCATAAATTACCATCGCTTAGAACATTCCTTGGTTTAGCTTCTGTATCAATTAACACTGTATTAAATATATGTGCACCGATTAAATGAAATAATTGTGAGTATAACTGGAAAGTCAACGCGGCGTTGACACGTGATTTCCTCAACTGTTGCATTAAATAGGTGAAGTGCTGTAAAATAATTTGCATACTGACTGGTTCTTTAGGCTTATTCCAACTTTCTGTTGGATCTATCGGTTTATCATCGAGAAGTATGTCATCCTAAACAAAGAAAAGACAAAAAAAAATAACCATGAAAGACGTTCAGTTAGTCGTACTGAATATATACTACTCATAAGTAGGTAAAAATACATTCTCAAAATATTGGAGTTTAAATCAAACAAGATAGACGATAGTTTTTAACAATAATAATATTATTTGGAGGATTTCATCATGAGCTGACATTGGTTTGAGAACCATTGGAAAACCAGCTGGGAGTACAGCCAGACAGAGAGCTGTTTTGTCAGCCTAGTCTGGGATTCTTTAGTAATACGCATCCATACCACCGGGTTCAAACCCAGGACCTTCTGGTGACAACGTGAGCTAGCTCGTAGCCCAATAAGCCACTGGGACCCCACGCAATTTTCCACGGCTATTTTATGAATTAGAAGTCAGAATTCATGTGCCGGGCACTGGATCGGATCCTAGTGAGCGACTTAATGATCTACGAGCTAGCTTGCCTTGTAACCAGAAGGTCCTGGGATTAGAAACTTTGTGGTATGGATGTGTATTACTGAAGAGTCCCAAACTAGGCTGACGAAACAGTTGTCTGTTTAGATGATATCAGATCATGATAAAATCTTGTAACCAAAAACCATGTAATGATTGTGAGTGAGGTCAATTACACAGGTCAAAACAGTAAATCGGTGTCAACTAGATTATTGGAGCATGAGAATTTAGCTGGACCTAGAAAGATGATTGACCCTGCTAAGTTTAATAATCTAGAAGATAGAGCTCAGGGATTGTATTGCATTCATTTGCATGTCATCACAAAATAAGGTGGGACAGATTCAGTTAGAGGTTAATCACTGAATGTCTGTTTATCGATTCAACACTAAACACGTGTAATCAAAATGACGTAACGCCTACACAGAAGATATGCAAAGTTGCAACAAACAACAACTAGAAGACGGACTGGCAGGGAGAGACAGAAGGAGAGAGAGACGAAAGTAAATTTAGGGCAAATTGTGAAGCTGTGCGACTAAATTGATGTGATTATGAGTGGCAATGATTTGTGCTCAAAACGTTATACCGCGTTTACTAAAATACTGCATCATCGTGTGTTACTTCATGTCTATCACGGTGGTGGACTGGATTATGCGTCAGACAGTGAGTGAGAAACGAGAAGACAGGGATATCCTGGACCGACCGACGTGAAGAACCTAGAAGACCTGGATTTTGCGCAGCGATGATTTATGTTTGATGTCACTGTCACAAAATCGAAGACTTACAGGCGAAAACCGACAAACTGGTCGACGAAGCAGCCGGCGAAGACAGGACTCCAGGTGAACATAGACAAGACGGGGGTTATGAAAATAACCAACCAACAAGAACAACAGAAACATCCAATCACTGCCAATCACCATCAACGGGAGGGATTTGAAAGAGGTCAGTTACTTCATTCACTTATCTAGGGAGCATTGTCTCAACTACAGGAAGTCGGAACGGACAAGGATGTCAAATCGAGCGAGAGTCGGGAAGGCGAGCGAGAAACACATTCATCAACCTGAAACCAATCTGGAAATCTTCGCCACTCAACCCTCCCTTAAAAGCTTCGAAGACCGTAAACAATTTGCCTACAGACAGGGTAGGAGTACTTTAGACGCTGCAGCCGTCTTACACAACAGTATTGTCTCATCATTAGATAAAGGTGCCAAATATGTCCGCCACACGTTTCTTGACTTCACTTCTGCTTTCGAATCTGTACCTAGATGTCTCTTGCTAAATAAGCTCCCCATGACACAAACCGAGTCCTGGGTCACTAACTGGTCGCATTCCTACTTTTCAAACAGAATGCAGTACACCGTATACAAAGGCGAATCCTCCTCTGCCGTGCTCACTAAAGCTGGTGTCCCCCAAGGTACTGTACTCTCCCCACTTCTCTTTACCTTCTTCCTACATGACCTACCATCTTCAAATGACATTAACTTTGTCAAATATGCTGATGACCTAACTGTATCTTTACCTGTCAAATGTCAAAGTGACTGCTCTAAACTAAATGGCTTCTTATCAGAAATCAGCCAATGGTCCAAGGAAAACGGTCTCACCTTAAACCCCTCCAAATGTCAAACAGTTAATTTCACCTTTACGCACAAATCTGACCTAAACAAACTGGTTAGCACTCACGAGGTGTGCAACATAGATGGCACTGAAATTGAAACCAAGTCGGAAATTTAATACCTAGGCGTCACTCTATCTTCTGATCTTTCCTGGTCGTCTCATATCTTGATGATTTCTAAGAAAATATTCCGTCTTACCTTCTACATCAAGAAGTTAAGACATTCTGGTGTAACCCAACCCTTACTCCTACAATTCGTTAACTCCCGTATTCTGCCTATTATTCTCTATTGTTCCCCTTAGTCTTTCCTTAGCTATTGAAGAAAGACTATACCTTATTACGCAGGATGTTAAAAGTTGTCAGCAGGGTAAGCAGTTTGCCACTTAGCCAGCTTTTTAATATTCTGGTGAACAGGCACATGGACTCATGTGAAAAATGGGAGGAATCCATTTTATCTGACTCACAACACCCTCTACATTCACAACTCTCCCCATGTATCTCTTCAGGGAAAACCAGAAGCCTATATAGGAAACTATATGCCCGCACTAGTAAGTACAAAAACTCATCCATACCCTACCTAGCTCGTGTTCTGTGCGATAAAGAAAGCGTTAGGCGGGAAACCTTTAACTTATTAAATAGTCAGTAGAACAAATGGTTCTCGTCTTTCCAACTCACATCATTTGTAGGTACAACGTTTTCTCGCTCTTCATTCTGTATTTATTTTTGTTATGTGCTGTTTTGTTTCTCTCTTCCTTACAAACTCTACTTAAAACATTCTTGTTCGTTCTTTCACACTCTGTATATCTCGACCATTTTGCTATCGCTTACGCCAGTAAATATGCTAGTAGTATCTACTTTTCTAACACCTTCAAACACTGTTTAAATTTTGGCTTTGCTACCGACATGCTAATATGTTGTTGTCAAAACTGACTGAGATAACTTTCATCTATGCAGAACTTTATTTATTGTTAATGTACTAACTGGATGCAATAGTGTAGTAAAATGCTGAGAATTCCATTCTGTATCACAAGTACTGATTTGGGATAAAGCTTTTATCTTATCTTATCTTATCAACAACAAAATTCGGTCGGATTTTCAATACAAACAACGTCAAGTCAGTTAGTTCTTCTAAGCGGATCAGAAACTTGGCGAGCGGGTCACAAAGAATATTTCCAACAGCCTGTTACAGACCTTCATCGACAACAACAACTCTCTTCGTTCTATACTGAAGATCAGATGGCCGGGTCGGAAAGAATCACCACCAACAAGAAACTGCAGGAACAAAAAAACAAGAACCAACCGCCAACCACAAAATATGCAGGAGAAAAAGGAGGTGGATTCGAGATTCGTTGAGGAGGCCGCTGGGTGACATCGTGCGCGTCAGGCTATTGTTCGAGTGGAACCAGGCCGAAAGGGAAGCGGCGAGTAGGTTGTCAGTGCAAGGGTGACATGGAGGAGATCGTGTGAAGAGGAGTTGAAACAGTATGGATGGTGAACATGGATGCAGGTGAAAAGTACAGCGGAAGACAGAAGTGGCAAGTGGAGACGTGCAGTTGAAGCCTTATGTTCCACTAGGAATTCCAAGGGAACAATAATGATAATAATATACGGTGGCGAAATTCTATACTTACATTGTATTCATATATTACAGTATGAATTTTACCCAAGCCGATTACATAACTTAGCCATCTACCTTTCAGAAGGATTCGAACTCATGGATTATTCGTTTAATGTCTTAAGGAATAAAGAACTACACCCATATAGATTACTACTTATATAGTAGACTTCTTGAAGACTATTCATTTACATATTGTTAAATCAATATGGATGATTGATGAATATGCAGAGAAAAAACGATGTAGACAAATAAATTAGCATATTTTATCGATTGGTACTATTATGTAACTGATGAACAAAAAGAATAAATAAATAAGTCTCCATATAATAAATAAGCATAAAAACAATCTTTTCACATGTGCATACATAATGAATGAGATGAACTTTTATACTTTGAAGGGTTAGTAAATTCATTCTGTGTACATTTGTTTAGACAAAATGGAATTTCAGATTACAATTCAGAGTTTTGACAAGTTTTGTAGATATTTTCGATTAATTCCCCTGTAGATTTTGTAAATAACCAATACAGAAGCATTTAGAATTATGGGTCATTGGATAACTTTGTCGCATTCATGACCCCTTCGGGAGTCAAACCCGAAACCTTCAAGTTATGAGGCCAAGCTTGTAGACTATCAAGCCAACTGGACGTAGTCAAACGACCCATGAATTCTAAATTCTGTGTGCTCGGTATAGATAGATAGATAGATAGCGTGACCGCTAGTCAATGGTTACATTGGTTACCTGACTTGATGGATCCCGTTTATCATATTATCACTAATTTTGTATGATTACTCCCTAGGGTTCCGTGTGGACTTCAACAACACATCTCTACTTTATTCTATTTTCTGCCACCCTCTTCAGCTGGGTTTAAGGTTAGCCATAATCTCTCATCTCCTGTATGTCACCCTCACACCGACGAACCGCCATTCGCTTTCCATTTGGATTCCAGTAGAGTGATGGACTGTATTGTGTGTGATGTTATTAGACGGCCTCTTCAAGGTATGCCAAATCCACGTGCATTTTCTATCATATATTTGTTGAACAATCACCTCCTGGTTGATTGGTCGCTAATTCTCTCTCGCCATTTGATCATCAGTATGCAGCCAGCCAAAGGGTCAGTTATTGATAAAGGTCTGCAACAGGCTGTTGGAAATCCTTTTCGTGATAAACTCGCCAAAATTCTGAGCCATACAGCAGGACTGACTAACTTCATATTTGTGCTAAAAATTCAAATCTTGTTCCTTATGATGAGTGTAGAAGATTTCCAGACTAGTTTCAGGTTGATGAAGGTGCATTTTGTCTTTCCGATTCTGGCTGGAGTTGAGATAATGCTTACTAGATAAGTGAAGGTGGAGACCTCATTCAAATCCTTCCCGCTGATGGTGATTGGTGCTCATTGTTGCTGCTGTTGTTGTCGGCAGGTGGTCTTTATCACCTCCGGCTTTTCTGTTTTCATCTAGTGTCCTATCTTCGCTGCATGCCAGACTCTTCTATCAGTTTGTCGGTTTTCGCATGCAACTCTTCGACTTTATGTGACATTAAACACAAATCATCCACGCGCGAAATCTAGATATATCTTCTCCAGTCTTCTCATCATTGGTCCAGCGCACTTCTGTCTCCTCGCTACCCATAGTCTGACGTATAATCTAGTCCAACACGATGAGGAATATCATCAGAGATAATGGGCAGCCAACTTATTTTAGCCCCTGTGTTTTCTGCATTTTGGAACGCCTCTCTGAATTCTCCGTTGTGGATCACCTGACGACACGTGACATTGTCTTATAGCCATCTGTTGAATTAGGTTTACAAAGACTTGGGCATTATACGCCATAGTGTTGAAACAGTCTCCAAACTACTTCGTCGTCAACACTGTCCGTTGAAGGCCTTCTGGAAGTCAATGAAGTTAAGGTGAATGTTTGACCGTCTATCACAACTTTTCACTAAAACTCCAGGCAACGTCTTCGCGTAATCACAGTCACTTGTGAGTATTCAATTGATTTTCAAGTGTTAGTTTGTAGGGTTTCGATTAGTTTCAAGTTGATTAATGACCTGATATCACTTAGAGGAGCTGCTGAAAACCACGAAGTATTAGTCATTTGTTTCGTCTTAGTTAGGGACTCTTCATCTGTGTGTATCGAAGTTCGTACTGGGGACCGAGCCCATGATTTTAATGTTACATGGTTAGTTGACAGACCCTGAGTCACTATGTAACAACAGAAGACAAGGGCCAGGCAACAGATCGTTTTATTTTGCAAATCAACACGTATTTATACATATTTCACACACATTATTATAGCTTATGCAAGTAGACAAGCGCAGTCATCTGATTAGTTGTTTATCAGAAGTTAGGCAGACAAACGCAGGCTTCTGATTGGTTGTTTTGGGATTCCTCGACAAACAGAGTTCTCTATCTGCGAATCATATTTTGCCACGTTAACTTTGCTGTGATTGGTTGTTGAATCAGCCTTGCTCATATTTTCTCACGGCCTGCTCTCACCACAACTATATTGCATAAGTTTATATTTCAAAATATCACACAGTGATACAATATTGATAACTGGATGACGTTTCGTGCATAAATTATTGACACTCATAATAATACCAATTTTAGTCACACGGTTTCATAACTGGTCTGATATATACATTTTCTCTCTATCTGTTTCGCTCTACAACTTTCCTTTGTTGTCTGTTACCGCTTTCCATGTTTCCGGTATAGGCATTGTTTCATTGTGATTGTATGTATTCAGTGTCGCATCGATAAGCAAAAAATTCAGCGATTAACCTCTCTCTGTTTCTCTCTCCCTCTCTCTACACCAATTCCTGAGCACCTCAGCTAAACTTTTTGATGGTCAGTGAATTATAATTATTTTTTATTCTTTTTTTAAATTTTTTAATTTGTAATTCATGAGAATTCGCGATATTATGTTACCGTCAACCAGTGACATCGATGATCACTCATTCTATCCTGATATGTTGGACCGTAGTTGCCATGGTTTCTTTTTCGAGCTCAAGACTTTTCGATTGAATGGAGGATTTCATCATAAGCTGGAGAACTACCGGAGAAACTGGGAGCACTGGACAGCTTTCTCGTCAGTCTAGTTTGAGACTCTTCATCGGTACGCACCCACCGGGGTTCGAACCCAGTACCTTCTGGTTAAAAGGCTAGCGAGATCGTAGACGATTGAGCTACTAGGACACGATCCAATGGTCCATCAATTCTAACTTCTGTCAATTCACGATATAGCGCGACCATTGCGAAGTTAAGATTCAAAGACCATCGGATCGGGTCCCAGTGGCTCAATGGTCTACGAGCTCGACTTGTAACCAAAAGGTCCTTGGTTTGAACCCCAGTTAGTAAGTACTACTGGGGAGTCTCGAACTAGACTGATGAGAAAGCTGTCCAGTACTCCCTGCAGGTTTTCCAGTGGTTCTCCAACAGATGTCAGCTCATGATGAAATCCTTTATGCAGTCAAACATAAAATTCCTTACAAAACTAATATTCAAGAGTGTTCATTTAGTAACGGTGTCATAATGACGTGGATGATTACCGAAAGTGCTGATTAGCCCTAACTCTATATCGCAAGATGACGGAAACTGGAAGTAATGGGTCACTGGAAACCGACCTAGTCGCCTGATGCGCGGAAAAGTTTCTTCATAACCTGAGGATCATGTGATCAGTCCCTGGTGATGAGGTTTTCATGTGCATGGCTGAAGAGAGACACACTAAGACGAAACTCCAATGTTTAAGACCCTTTAGCAATATACAATGAGGTCGAATCTAATGGACGATAAACTTTAACTGTCGCTAATTCTTCTTCTTATGCTGGTGAGATTTTAATGAAGCTTCCTCAGAGGTTTCTCACTTCAAAGTGTGCTCTGATTATCTGAGTCGTAAACACTCACACACACACACACACACACACACACTCATGAGAAACACATTAATAATAATAATAATTAAAACTTGAAAACACAGAAATGTGTACACAGTCAATTCACTCACCTGTAAATCTAAATCTCCTGGATACGTTAAACACATCAACCATGGTTGTAGTATACCAGTCATAACTGAACGTAGATAATAGAAACAATGGTCAACAGTCTCAGCAAGAATATGTAGAGCATCTCTACAAACCACAGATGATGTAGATGATGGTGCTGGCAGTCCATCCGTTTGACTTCGATCATTCTTTTGATCCCAGCCTTTTGATCGATTTGACGAACAGAGATCAATATCGTTTTTAAAGAAGTGTAGCAATTCACTACTATTGCCAAGCCAATAAGTTAACGGTTTGATTAATGTGGGATCAGTATTTGAATTGCGATTGAAATTTGGTACGGACTGTCATCAAGAAAATGGATTGGTTGCAAGGGATGAAACGAAAAAATCACAAAACTTGTTTAATTAAACAAAAATGGCGTATGACTGAGCCCAATCGATAATTTCCACCTCTAAGTGGTGGTTGGGCTTGCATATCTCGATGACTCGACCACTTACATTGGCTACAGGTCTTGCCATGTCACGAAGGTGGTTTGGATGGCAGTTAGACTAAAATCAGTTGCTATCAAAGTGTAAGTCACTCATATTATGTTGAAGGTCGGAAGGCGAAGTCATACCTGTAAAAGCGGTAAGGTGTTTCACTTTATTGACCAGCGGGACAGTTATACTGTCTCTTATCTCTGCGGAAGACTTGCCGACTTATCCTGCATTGGTCTTCAGCCAGTGCTAATATCTACTTATCATTATTTCTTTTAATTCGTAGACGAACATAGGGCTTCAGCGGCGCGTCTCCACTGCGTTTGGTTCTCTGCCAACTTTTTCACCCCGCTCCAGGTCAGCCCACATGCTTTCATCTCCTCTTCACATGACCTCCTCCAAGTCATCCTTGCACTGACGACCGACTCGCCGCTTCCCATTCTGTCGGGTTGCACTCGAGCAATGGCTTGTCTAGTGATGTCACTTGATGGCTTGTTTTCTCAGAGTATGGCCAATCCACCTCCATTTCCTCCTGTTTATTTGTTGCACAATCGGTTCCTGATGGGTTGGTTCGTCGTTCCCAGAGATTCGTGTTGGTGACCTTTTCTGGCCGGTCATCTGATCTTGAGTAGCACTGAGTGAAGACAGCTGTTGATGAAGGTCTGTAGTTTGTTTGAGGTGCTCTTTATGACGCTGCGCCAAGTCTCTGATCCGTATAGTGAGTAGCACTGACTTCACATTGGAGTTGAAAATCCGAGCCATATTTTTCATGCTGAATGCTGTGTGTTGAGAGTAATGAAAGCTTGTCTTGCTTTCCCGATCCTCGCTGCTTTGATATCATCGTCAGTTCCGCCTGTAGTTGAAGGAGATTGCTTCTCTCAGGTTCCTTCCATTTATGCTGGCTGATTGTTGTCTGTTGTTGTTGTTGTTGATGTTGACCAGGAATCTTCATCATCACCTCTGTTTTCTCGATGTTAACCTGAAGTCCTATCTAATAGCTACACATACAAAAAATTCCAAAGAAAAACCCAATTCAAGAAGGTCTCAAAATGTTGTCCCCTGGGCTCAGCGGTCACGTAACACTAATGCCACTTCTTTTTCATATATTTCAAGAAGAAACCAACTTCAACGCTGTGAATAGTTAGGAATTCATAACCATCCACCCGCACCTGTTAACATTAGCCTAGTGTCAGATATCAAAAAATCAATTTGATAAAGGTTATGTGTGACTTATAAATTTTGCGTGTTAGTATTCATTATCCAGAGGGACACTCTTCTACCACTTTGTGCACAGTCTTTGTACTGCGCTCTGACTAGTGTTACCCTTGTGAGAGTGAATCTATACAGTTGAAAGCTGCACAATGGTTGAGAATTTTATAAAGACGCTTTCTCAGAATGCTGATATGGCGAGTTGGCATCTCAGTCACAGAACCACCGGAAAACCAGGGAGTACTGGATAGCTGTTTTGTCCACGTCTGAGCATCTTTACTAGTACGCGCCAGTCAGCTGGGACTACCAAGTTAGGTAAGAGAATAGCCTTGGGTGGCAGTCAGGTTATATGTATTGGGAGATGGCAGAAGCAAGAACTGACGAGCTGTTGGATTTGGTCCCAGTGGCTGAATCCTCTACGAGCTTCTAAGTGAAATCCGCGATGAGCTATGCATTTTGTGTATCGCTGAAGAGTCTCGAACTGGGAGGAAACAGCTGTCCAACACTTCTTGATTTTCAATGGTTCTCCAACTGTTGTTAGTACATGAACAAGCCTGTAGCCAGTCAAATCCCCAAAAATCAAAACTTGATAAGTAAACATACAGTCTCACTGATTTATTTTTATGCACGACTATAGACTAATGCGCTAGTCTGTCGGTCAGAATTCAAATCATATAAATATTGACCACTGGTCTGTTAGTCAGGCGGCAGCTAACCAATCAGATTTAGGCACTCATAAAAGATGCCCGCTACTCAGCCCATTTTACTATCATAACTATTGTAAATATATAACGAATATCTGTCGTTCACTCTGTTCGAATATGCATTCCAATATCGTCGTTACTCATTGGATCTAGAGAAAACTCCCGGGATATTGTCAAATGTTCATTATATTTCTAATCGATATTCGATAAGTGTATTTGTTGAGCATATTATTTATATTGCATAAACTACATTTTCTCTTCTGAAGTCCGTGTACTATTCCTTGTGCTAATCGTCTGATTCATAACGGAAACCTTTGGGTAGTATTTAAAAATCAGAAAGACACCCCAGCTATCAAATCTACTACCGCTGACGCATGGTTGCTTTGTCCAAAAAGGACTGCAAAAATGGTAGTAAATTCCCCATATGGACGTGAGAAGGCAGGTGTTTTGTTTTTGATGTGGCTGTGTTATACTAAGATGGATAGTTTATGGGTGCGAAGCTTTCATCGCCCTACTAGGTAACATCTTCAGAGCACACTTCAATACGTTGAAGTGGGCTTTTAGATTTCTCCACGAGTTTATAAATCATCCATTCCGGTGGGTGGGTAACCTTGAACGTGATTGGTTGATTTCATATGTTTTCCCACCCTTTAGGCTACTTGTAGAGCTATTAGTGTTGATTGTTTCCTTGACTTGAACTTTGACCCTGATGTGTATCCACATGATATGTGTTTTGTTCTGACAGTCTGTTATATTTTGCTATGTATATATAGATCGATATTCCATTATAACTGACATTATGCTTTTGTCTGTCCATTAACCAAATAAACAATGTATGACCTTGTTGTCACATGACATTACAACCAATCATTGTTAAGACTGGCTATTTATTGGTTCATGTGTATTAGCCATTTTCATATATACTCTTGCTTTGTACACCTTTATATATTTTTGTTCACACACATTGTGTACCATTTCACTCACACACTAGAGTGACATTTATTTTCCTTGTGTGGAAAATACAAGTATCATCCTAAACCTAGTGGTCTTCTGATTTCCCTCTTTCCGCGTCAGGACTATCAACTACTCGACGAGTACATAACATAATTGGCGACGGGGAAAACTTTAGTAACTCACTCAACAGCAGTACATAACAGACCCTTTGTTTGTGTGTGAGATTTCCTTCTATTGATTGGCAAATTTTGTCTGTCTGTTTTCGACATAGAACTTTGCACAAATGTGCGGAAGTTCAAGTCGCCACATTCCGTGTAGCACGCGAAGCAAGAGAAGAAAGTACAAGAAAAGCATAATAGAAACAGTGAGCAGAGGTGTGAGACAAAGGAGTAATAAAGAAATACAAAACAGTTTCATTGGAGATCATAAGTCACAGGGAGTGGATGCATCTGCGCCACTGAGAACGATTTTGAGCCATGTCACCAATTGTTTCCAACCATAGATTTTTACCGTCCCGAGGACCCCAGCCTGGAAGTCTACACCTTCCTACGTGGCTTAGACCAACTGTTGTGGATTTCATTGACTGATGCCAAGTTTTTGTTTGACCGCCGCTAGCTTTTTTCCAGCCTGACCCTATATCCGCTAACATTGCTCGTCGAGGGAGGCGATGGCTTGGCATACGTAACACATGTCCTAACCATCTCAGTCTTTGTAGCTTCACGACTTCGTCGATTGATTTCCCCTGTTTACCTAGAACTCTACGCCTAACCTCCATGTTGCTCACCTTATTATGCCACTTTACACGGGAAATAGAACGCAGGCACCTATGATCAAAGACAGCTAGTCTTTTCATGTCTTCCACTCTCAGTGGCCAGGTCTCACAACCATAAAGGAGGACGGAGCGGACTGATGAGCAGTACACCCGCCCTTTGGTCGATAGTCGAACATCTCGTCTACGCCAGAGTCGGCGTAAACTAACAAATGCGAAACGAGCCCCTTGTATTCGTGCTGAGATTTCGTCAGAGATCAGCCCGTTGGGGCTGATGGTACTTCCCAAATAAGTGAAGCGGTCAACGTGCTCTACCACTTCACTTCCTATTTTTAAACTAGGCGTCGATGTAGTCCAGTCCTGTAACATCATCTTGCATTTGGCGGGAGCGAATCGCATGCCAAACATTCGTAGATTGCGGCTCAAGGTGTTTAGAAGACTCTGCATTTCGTCAGCGTCTTCGCCTAGAAGGACTATATCGTCTGCATATTCCAAGTCAACGAGATTATTCCCCGGTAGCAAGTCAATCCCTGAGTCGCTGAAGTCACCTAGGGTTAAGTCCATTAACACATCTATGATGAAGTTGAATAGAAAAGGAGATAATGGGCATCCTTGACGGACACCACTGGTCGTCATCAGTTCAGATGACAGCTCGCCGTAAGCCCTCACCTGGCTGTATGAGTACGAATAGAGTGCCTTAATCAGTGCAATATATTTTCTTGGAATTCCCTTTACAGCCAAGCATCTCCAGAGAACTTCCCGATCGACAGAGTCGAATGCTGCCTTTAGGTCAAGAAATATAATGACTGTTGGACGCCGGTAGGAATGCCTATGTTCTAGAATCTGTCGGAGGGTGAAGATATGATCAATACACCCTCTTCCTGGTCTAAAGCCTGCCTGGCTCTCTCGTGTTTGTGCTTCCCGAGCACCACTCAGTCTACGCATGATTATTGAGCCTAAGACTTTAGATACTATATTAGTCAAGCTAATCCCTCTGTGATTATCACAGGAAGACTTGTCTCCCTTCTTGTATATGGGGATAATCAGTGACTTACACCAACCCGATGGGACTTCTTCTGATTCCCAGACGCTGCCTAGTACCTCAGTTAATCCGGACAGTAAGCTGTCTCCACCGTACTTAAATACCTCTGGAGTCATTCCATCAGGTCCCGCTGCTTTGCCTAGTTTCAGATTGGTGACAGCTTTAGTAACCTCAGTTAGTGACGGAGGACCTGTGTCTATATCCCATTCAGGGAGGTGTTGGATGCTCGGAAGGTTGAGCGTGGCTGTGGGCAAATTAAACTGCTCCTCATAATGCTCTTTCCAACGATCCAGTCGTCTATCCTGTGAGCTAATTATAGTGCCATTTTTTTCCGAGATTGTCTCACTAATGATTTGTCTTCTCCCACCCGTTTCCCTGATGAGTCCAAAGAGTTGCCTGGTGTTGCCTATCCTCAAGCTTTCTCCATCTCTTTGGCTTTTGTCGCCCACCACTGTTCACGGTCCTTGCGGAGACTTTTCGTAAGTTTCCTCTTGTGCAGCTTTCGCTCCTCATTGAATTCGGAGCTCGCCGGAATAAGTCTTCTAGCATCTATCAGTTCGGATGAGGCGGTGGAGATCCAGTGGTTTTTACTCACCTTTGGGTTTACCTTATTCACAGCTTTTACAGCTGTATCTATGGCTGCCTGGATATTTTTCCAAGCTTCTTCAGGGTGAGCACAGCTGTCGAACACAGATATGTGTTTAGCTAGTTCTTCCTGAAATACGGATTTAGTTTCCTGATCGAGCTGGGGACGTGATGGTTTTACCGCCAGCTGTTTCCTACGTCCGTTCAGTCGTAAGCACACCCGAGCGCGGACCAGTGCATGGTCGGTATCTACGCACGTGTTCCAGAAGGAGCGACAATCTCCTACCGACCCACGCCAACGATAGCTTATTGCTATGTGGTCTATTTGTGTCCAGCGTTGGTTTGATGAAGGGGGTCTCCAAGTCAAACAGTGTCTCTCCTTGTGTTTAAAGTTAGTGCTTACAAGAAACAAATGATTATCAGAGCAGAACTGTAGGAGACGGTCACCGTTGTCGGTTCGCTGGCACGGAACTCCATAGGTGCCACCGACATCCTTCTCAGATTGACACAATTTCCCTACTTGAGCGTTAAAGTCACCAGCTAGAACGACTATGTCTGAGCGTTTAGCCTTTCCACCAAACTAGACAGCTTTTGGTAGAACTCATCCTTCGTTTCATCTGAACTGCAGTCAGTGGGGGCGTAGGCGGAGATTACGAAAAGGCATCGGCGAGTAGTGCAGTCCTTCCTCCTTCTTACTGATCCGTTCAGGCGGACAGCACACATTCGGCTATCTACCGGGATCCAGTCAAGCAATGTCTTTTCTGCCCTAGTACTCAAAGCTATCCCTACGCCAGCTAATCCTCGTGAACTAGCTGTGGCATCTCCTGACACCCTCAAGGTGAATTTTGCAGATTCAACCTGTTGGCCAGGTGGGGTTAGGTGAATAACCACACTTGGGTCTTGTATGCGTGTTTCTGAAACACAGCATACATCAATGGCTCGTGATGCCAGGGTCTTGGCTAGTGATGCTTGTTGTCCTATTTGGCAAAGTGTCCTAACATTAAGAGCTCCTATATGAAATTGGTGGCGCGGCTTTAAGAGGCTGTCGGTGGTGGTTTTTTGGCTTCCATCGTTTTTAGTGGACGCAGAGTGGAGAGGAAGTGGAGAGCTATCAAGTCGAGGAGTTGCATCAGTGGAAGGAAGGCAAGATGATAGAGATGAAGATGAAGACAAAGATGAGTGAGTAATAGAGAGGTTTCGTGTGCATTTCGGATTGTGAGGGCGATTGTTACTTCCCGGCTGCCCACACCGTGGAAGTTGGTTGCGTGACCGCAGAGCCCAGGGGACAACTGCTTGAGGCCGGTCACACGCGGCCTGTTTTTGTTCGTTCTTTTTTGTTTGTGTCTATGTGAATGTGTCTATTGATTGATAATTCACTGGAATACCAGGCAGTCTTTTACAAATTCTCCAGCATTTTTGGTGTTTCCTCTGTATAATATTTGAACGCTGGTTGTCGAATCCATGTTTGTCTGTATGCAGCGAGTGATATGAGGGAGTGGATGTCATGTCTTTTGACAACTAACTTATGATCATGAATACGAAGAAGACGAAGGGGACGTCGTCCACTTTGGTAAATGTAGTGTTTTTCACAGTTGTTACAATTTATTTTGTAGATGATGTTGATTTTATCTTCTTTCGTTGTTTAGTCTTTTGGTTGACATAGAACCAGCTGAGTGAAGTGATTTTGTTGGTTTCTGTGCGGCATCAATCCTTAAAGGTTTGAAGAGTCTTTCAGTAATTTTTGAGATGTCCTTTGTGAATGGTAGGACGATTTTCTTTGTGTTTTCCTTGGAGCACTTCGATTTGATAGGTTGGCTTAGGGGTATATGTCTTTTGATGAAATTCCGTGGATATCCATTCTTTCGGAAGATATCCATGAGATATCAGATGTTTTATTACTATTTGCGAACCTACTTACCGGAAGCTTCTGTTGATATGTGGGCTTTTGACATAGACGCCTCGAAGATGATTATAGGTTAACTTCGTGTTATCTGGTTGATGGTAGAATCACGGATAAGCGTTTTATTCTATACAGAAATCCTTAGCCGGATATACTTGCATTCTAGGGAGTTATGACGTTGCCAATGAGAATTCGAATTACCATCAGTCAATAGGAATGCAGGAACGCTATTATTAATGTTATTATTATTATTATTTCCTTTAATTTCTAGAGGAACATAGGGTTTCAGCTACACGTCTCCATTGCATTCGATCTTCTGCCAACGTTTTCATTACCTGACTCCATATTTGCCCATATGCTTTCATATGGATAACACATTCCATTGAGGATGTACTAGAAATCCACTGAAGCAACATTTTCATACAATCTACAGAAATAATGATTTATAAGCACTATGAGTTGTGCGTCAGTGGCATGGTGGTTAGGATACTCACCAACTATGCGTATGGTCCAGGGTTCGATCCCCCGACGGACGCATTCCTTTACCTGGCCAAACCAGTAATAAAAGTCGGTAATGGGGAAAGGTTGGGCATGAGGCTAGCAACCTCATCCTGTAAAAATAAACAATGCTACAGACACTTCAAGCCACTAGCTAGAAGCTCTATGTCCCAGTGGGAACGTGAAGGAAAAAAATGAGCTCCAGGCATCAACTTGCAGTTAGACATAGGTAGAAATACCAATCTTGGAATCCCCTGCTTTTCAACATTCATCAGACTTTATCGAAGTGTCCTTACTTGGAACTTAGCATCTCAACAGAGACCGAACATTTCTATCCAATCAATCAATGGGAAAATAAAAAATATTGACTTAAACAATATCATAATGAACTACTTATATTCAATAATCAGTAGAAGATTAAAAAATAAACAAAATTTTACAATTATACATTACCTCATATATTCGAGTAGCCATATAATTTGTTAAATGTGAAATATAATGATCTCGTTCAACTGGTTGGAATTGATTCGATGTGTTCAACTTTTTAATACACGCTCTATAGGTTAAATACATTGCATATGCAGGTGCTAGATGGAATGAACGACTTTTCACCGAGTTCATATCTTTTTGCGATGATGATCTATGTCCAGTGATTAGATCAGATTGAGCACATTGTAGAATACGATCGAGTAGATGAATAAATTGATCCATTAGTGTATCAAAAGCTGTTGATTCATTGGTATTCTCTAAATCAATCGATAAAGGTAATTGATCTGACGAAGTAGAAGAAGACGATGTGTTCACCTGACCATTATGATCTTCTGAATCTTGTCTTTTTGTTGATACACTTAGAAGATTGGACTGAATTGTGTTTAGATGAAATGGAAATAGAGAGGGAGAGAGACAGAGGGAAAGAAGCTTATTAACAGACGGCTTATTGATCGACTAACAATTATAAGTAAGAAGATCCTATCAACTTAGGACATAGCTCATGATTACTGCAATCTGTTCAACTCAGTTCGTGCGTCGGTGGCACAGTGGTTAGGACGCTCGCCAGCCATGCATATGGTCCTGAGTTCGATTCCCGGCCGACGCACTCCTTTACCTCGCTCATCCAGAAATAATGCTGATAAAGAGGAAAGGTTTGGCATGAGGCTAGCAACCCCATCCTGTAAAAATAAGCACTGCTACAGAAACTTCAAGCCACTAGCTTGAAGCCCTATGTTCCACTGGGAACGTGAAGGAAACATTTTTATTAATTCAACTCAGTTCAGAGAGGTGAATCAGTTCACATCACTCAAATTCTGGTTAATTACTTGGGCGAACTGGATCAGTCAGCGGCACTAGCCCACTAACCTTGGTCACAGCCTACAATATTCTACATAATATTGTAACAGAAAAAGGCAAGACACGGAAGCCAAGGTATATTTTCAAGTGATCAAACGTATATATATATATATATATATACATATATATATATAGGACTGTAGTGGGCATTTTGATTGGACATTAGTAACTAGTGTGATGTGTCTAGTCCTTTGTGTTTGGTGCATACTGAGTTCTACCAGTCAGGTTTTGCAATGTGGCTACCATTCCGCTAGGTAGCTCGCCATCACGGTGCACATTGATTTGATGATATAAGATAGTTGGAGGCAATCGGAAGGAATCCTTGGACCTAGGTTTCGTGCTAGTTGGCACTCATCAGCAAGGCGTATCTGCAACCTTGAAGGAACTCATTTCTCTTCTGAGATACGAACCCACGTCACCCAGTGCTGCACAGTCAGAGTAGTCAATACTAAGCTATTCGGGTTTGAGATTGACCTCCTGTAGGACTGTAGTGAGTACTTTGATTGGACACTAGTAACTACTGTGACGTGTCTAGTCCTCGAAAGTTGCAGATACGCCTTGCCGATGAGTGCCAACTAGCACGAAACCTAGGTCCAAGGATTCCTGCCGATTGCCTCCAACCGTCTAATACCACAATCTCACAGTGCACCGTAATGGCGTGCTACCCTAGCGGAATGGTAGCCACATTGCAAAACCTGACTGATAGAGCTCAGTCTGCACCGAACACAAAGGACTAGACACGTCACACTAGTTACTAGCATCCAATCAAAATTTAGCTAGTGTGCCACGAAAAGCATTTTCAACAGCCTAGTGGAGAAATTTGTCAACAGCTGCTCACTTCGCTGGCTGGCTCCACACTGAAGATCAAATGGCCGGCCGACTGTGCAACTGGGTAGAAAGAATGAGCAGTACGAAACTCTACAGTGGAACAAACCAACAGGTTTGAGCCGATCGCTCAACAAATATGCAGAAGAAATTGCAGATGGACCAGGTGTAGTCTGAGAAGGCCGTCGAATGACATGGCGCGCAATGCAGGCTATCGTTCGAGTGTCATCTGAGTGGGAAACGATGAGTGGGTTGTCAATGCGATGATGACATGGATGAGAGGAGGAGAAGATGAGAGATTATGGTCAGTCGTGAAGCTAGCCAGCTGAAGAGGACATTAGAAAATAGAAAAAGGTCGGAGTGTGTTCTTGAGGCCCTATGTTCCACTCTGAATTCAAAGGAATAATAATGTAATAATAACAATAAGCCACTTGTATTTATATCCCAAACTAAGATCATATACGTAGTCTTGGGTTGGACACACACACACACATACACACACAAATCAAATGATCCAGAGACTAAGAAAGGTGATCTGAAAGAAGAAGCATTAAGTTGAAATGACTGGCATCCAACGTAAACTGCTGGTTTTCATATAGTGTAATAACTTATCAGTTGTAAAGAATAGAGACCTAAACTAATGATCTACTAAATGAACTTGATAAAACAATCAAAACAACTGCCTCATTTCTTTGCACACCGAATGGAATATACATAGGGATAGTGTTGAATTTTCATGGGATAGGATCTATAACCCTACGCCATACACTTCTTCTTATCTAGGCTTATCAATGGTGAGTGTATTAGGTGAGGTTAACAGGCGCGTCAACTTGGGGTTCGGCGAACAGCCTGCCGTCAAAACACTGATGCAACAGACGCTACTAACTAGAAAAGTGTATATATATATATATATAAGTTGACATGATATGGAATCTATAACAAATTACTGAGCCCTTACCTTACCTTGCTGTAACCTTAACACCCTTAACATGCAAATCAAAATCTAATATTTGCTGAAGTCTAATCCCAAGCGAAGATCACAGTAAAATAGAAGAGTACCCCCTTAATAGAATGGATGGTTTAACTGGTATTTCAACATCATTTCGAAGGTCTTCCTTTTGGCTTGTTAAACTTCACAAGAGTCCTGCAATTTTTGAAACTTCTTGAAGTGAGCAAAGGTAAAAAAAAATAGCGATTGAAGCAATGGGAGCAAGAGACTGACTTTAAGACGACCAATCAGAATGACCAGTGTTTGTATTACATAGAAATGGCGCTTTTTACTAGAAAAATATACGAATAATAAAAATGAAACACCCTAACCCGAACCCCCATCCCTACTACTCCTCCTAATCCTGGAAAGCTATCAACCCGTCATCGAAACACATCATGACGTGGAAAGTGATCATAATGAAGCTGAAATAATAGTCGGTCCCGTCATCCAACCAATAGTATGCGCTCAAGGTCATCAGTATATTCGTACTCACGCATTGCTATTCTTTAACTTGTCCTTCAAGTGGAAGCAGCTATCAAAATCAGTTTATCAAAACCACTGGACTGAAAAGTCTACTCCTTTCAACCATACTTCATAAATTATGCTGGTGTATCCAGTCAATGGGAGCTTTGCGTTACAAGCAGCCAATCGATATTCTGAAATGCAGTCAAATATCATAAATACCAACCAGTATTTTCTCAATTTCTTAACTGTTGACATATATATCCTGGAAAATAACCATCGTTAAAGTACAGAGAAAAGAAGAAGCAGAAGAAGTTCAGCAAACAGATATCTTTCCAACAATTTCAATCTCAAAAGCAACTGGAAAATGTGATCAAATATTGAGCGAAAGTGTGTTTCTAAACTTTGTTGTCCTATGCATCAAGAAGCTGGAGTTATGTGTTGAAGAAACATAAATTAATCCAACCTCTAAGTTAACAATGGATCTAGCTCTTTTCGATGAGCTGGTTGCTTCTTTCTGTTTAATAATTAAAATATGAAACGAAGAATTCGTAGGAGTCGTAATTCATGAGAAATGTTCATTGTGGTTGGATCCCAGTAGTTGAATGGCTTACGAGGTCACCTTGTAACCAGAAGGTTCTGAGTGAGTACTCTTCATCTGATGAGCCCCAAACAATGACGAAACAGCTATCTAACACTCTTCAGTCATCATTGGTTCTCTAACTGATATCAGTCCGTGGACAAACACTTGAAATAAATCAAAGCCTTAGAAACAAGCGCCCTTGGAAATATAAATTTCTAAATTTAAGTTCATACACACTCCTTAAGGACATTGAAAGCCTTGACAACACAATGAGGGATGGATTTGATAAATGCATAAGATTTAAGTGTGTGAAATATTACCCATATCATGAATTAAACCTCAGACTGAAGGAAGAATATTCCTTTCAAATTATATTAGGGTATTTTGACTGACTCACTAGTTTCAACATAGAACTTTGCACTGATATGTAACAGTGCTAATCACCACACTCCATGAAGCACACAAAGCAAGGGAAGAAAGTAAAAAAGAAACGCAAAATAAAGAGACAGTAAACAGAAATATGAGACGAAAATAACAGTTATATCGAAAAACACTTTAGTTTAACTGAAAATTATAGGTCACAAGTAGTGGATGCATCTGTGTCACTGAGAACGATCACTTCGAGGGAGCTATATCACCAGATGTCTCCAGACGCTATCATTGGATTTTACCATCCCGAGGACCCCAACGAGGACGTCTACACCACCCTACGTGACTGGCTTAAACTAACTGTGGTGGATTGCACTGATTGATGAAGCCATGTTTTGCTTTGACCACCACTAACTCTTTTCCAACCTGACCCTATGTTAGTTAACATTGCCCATTGTCGAGGAAGGCGATGACTAGGTATACATAACATATGTCTTTACCATCTCAGTCGATGTAGCTTCACAGCCTCGTCTATTAATTTCCCCTCCTTACCTAACACTCGATACACAACCTCATTATTTCTCACCCTATTATACTACTTTACACCGGAAATAGAACGCAGACATCTATGATCAAAGACAGCTAGTCTTTTAAGGTCTTCCACTCTCAATGGCCGGGTCAAACAGCCATAAAGGAGGACGGAGAGGACTTCTGAGCAGTACACACGCCCTTTGGTCGACAGCCGGCTGGATATGATATCTACGCCAGAGACAGCATAAATTAGCATATGCGAAATTAGCCTTCTGTATGCATGCCAAGATGTCGTCAGCGATCAACCTGTTGGCATTGGTTGATGCAACTTCCCAGATAAGTGAAGCGCTCAAAACGCTTTACCACTTCAATCCTTATTTCTAAGCTAGAAGTCAGTGTAGTCCAGTCTTGTAGCATCATCTTACATTTGGCGGGAGGAAATCCTGTGTCAAACATTCGCAGATTGCAGCTCAAGGTGTTCAGAAGCCTGCTGAATTTTGTCATCGTCTCTACCTAGCAGGGAGGACTATATGATCTCCATATTCTAATTGTTTGTACAGGGCGACAAAATTAATTCGTATTTATGAGTGATAAAACAACTAGGCTCAATACAATTACAAATGTATACGTAATGTGAGACAATGAGGATGGTGATTAGTCATAATGGATTCATATAGAATATGGGCAGAGGAGTGGGAAGGAAAATCGACAAGTCCACGTGAAGGGTGTAAAAGATGTCAGCTGAGTGGTTAG